AGCATTTCTGTGTTCTCAAATAATATGCTGTGTCCAGGTTGGTTCATCAGGTGCTCTGCTATGGCTGACTTCTCTGGTTGAAGTAGACTGCAGTGCCTTTCATGTTCCTTGATTCGTGTTTGGGCAATGCTGCGTTTGGTGGTCCCTATGTAGACTTGTCCACAGCTGCATGGTATACGGTCGACTCCTGCAGAAGTGAGAGGATCCCTCTTGTCCTTTGCTGAACGGAGCACTGGCAGACCGTGCAAAAAGAATCTGCGAACAGTAAAACAACAGAAAGGAAACAATCAGGGACGTCAGTAATCACCTCTCAACAAAAGATTGCTCCAGGCACTGCCAGACAATCAAATGCTAATCAAGGTGGTCAGTTGAAACATTCACACCTAGCTGCAGAAGACAAGAATCCTTTGTCCCACCCTAGTCATTCCACAGATATATAAACCCTTTTTCCTAGTTCCAACAGAACTCACTACCTCTGAGGATGCTTGCCATAGATGCAGGCGAAACGTCAGGAGAAATGCCTTTAGAACATGGCCATATAGCCCGAAAAAAACCTACAACAACCCAGTGATTCCGGCCATGAAAGCTTTCGACAATACAAAAACAACAATAATAAACATATTTGCTCTACACCATTGTTTCCTCAACAAGGTAGACAAAAAATACTACTAATAATAACAACAACTCAATTACATTATGTAAAAAAAAAAAATCTGAAAAATGTTCTGTTCCTAGTTGAAAGTGTTATTTTCTGTTTAATTGTGCAGGTCTTTCTTTGAAAGTAGTAGTTCTACAACCAAAACTTTGCTTTTGTGGCTTCTACAAACTATGCTGAATTGGTTAAGGCTCTATGAGATATTCAATGATAAACTAGAGCAAAATGTGCCTCAAGATCTCCCTCCCGCAAAAAAACAATACAAAAAAAAATCAAAAGTCTTTGTAGGTTTTTTCGGGCTATATGGCCATGTTCTAGAGGCATTTTCTCCTGACGTTTCGCCTGCATCTATGGCAAGCATCCTCAGAGCATCCAACCTCTGAGGATGCTTGCCATAGATGCAGGCAAAACATCAGGAGAAAATGCCTCTAGAACATGGCCATATAGCCCGAAAAAACCTACAACAACCCAGTGATTCCGGCCATGAAAGCCTTCGACAATACAAAGTCTTTGTAGTTTAATAAACTGTTTCCATGTTTTTAAGATAGAACCAATTCGGAAATGGCATTTATGACCCAAGAACGAAAACTGTGTTTACATAGTCTAATACAATAATGTTCACCCCATTGTATGATTCATTTCAATCTGTCTATGAAAGGCAGAAGATCTTGAGAAAGTAGTAGAGGCTGGGGTGAACTAAAAATCCCAAAATCCCCTATTGTCCAAGGTTGGGAGACTTTGCTTCATTGGAATATGGGTGTCAAATTGCACACTGTGTTAACGATGGTGCATATTTTTACACGGATGCTTGGATGGGTGACAAAGCTAACTTAATTTCCCTCTTTGGAGGGAAAGTCATTACCCAAGAGGTTCTCAATTGGATCAGGGTTGGTTAGACCATACCAGGAATACCATGTCCAATTCTGGGCACCACAATTGAAGAGAGATGTTGACAAGCTGGAATGTGTCCAGAGGAGGGCGACTAAAATGATCAAGGGTCTGGAGAACAAGCCCTATGAGGAGCGGCTTAAAGAGCTGGGCATGTTTAGCCTGAAGAAGAGAAGGCTGAGAAGAGATATGATAGCCATGTATAAATATGTGAGAGGAGGTCACAGGGAGGAGGGAGCAAGCTTGTTTTCTGCTTCCTTTGAGACTAGGACGCAATGGGACAATGGCTTCAAACTATAAGAAAGGAGATTCCATCTGAACATGAGGAAGAACTTCCTGACTGTGAGAGCCGTTCAGCAGGGGAACTCTTTGCCCTGGAGTGAGGTGGAGGCTCCTTCTTTGGAGGTTTTTAAACAGAGGCTGGATGGCCATCTGTCAGGGGTGCTTTGAATGCAATATTCCTGCTTCTTGGCAGGGGGTTGGACTGGATGGCCCATGAGGTCTCTTCCAAATCTAGGATTTTATGATTCTATGATTCTAGGGTGTGGTTTTTCCACTCATGAATCCCACCTGGACACATATTTCCCTTTCTTTGTGGGTGTTGCCAGAGGTGCGAAATAGGGCCTTTGGTCACCAAGGAACAACTTGGGAGGAGCTACAGACTTTCTCAAGAAACTGATGGGAAGCCGGAGCCAAACCACAAGCATTTTATATTGCTTGTTTGTTTTGAAACAATGTGATTCGGAGAATCACAGCATTGGCAAGATCCAGCTTGACTCAAAGTCAAGAAATATTCCTGATTCAGACTGGGAATTGAAAGATAAAGAAGGATTATATTTGGTCTTGCAGTGGGTTTGGGGTGCACAATTATGCACAATTATCCGTATTATTCCCACCTCAATAGAGATAATAGTGGTATAGTATTTATTGCAATGCACGGTTCCTGCCCTCCAAGATTTCACATCCAAAATTGGGGAAGTGTATGGCATGAGAGCATAGGATTCAGATGGCAAAGGGGACAAAAGAGTGGCCGCAACAGGTTGCTTTTGGAAAGGACAAGGTTTCTTGTCCTCTGTTTAAATGCAACAGTTTGGGTTTTTTGTTTTGCACTTGAACTCAATTTGCAGCTGTCAAAGTGAGCTGAGGACAAAGGCGGAAAATGGGGGAAGCGAAACTAGGACATATGAGAAGCAGCTGGAGAATTGGGAAGACAGGAGAGTCATAATAGGAGGCCAGATTATGGCAGTGTGGTGCGCATGTGCAGGCGAGAGAGAGCATACAAGGCTGGAGGAAGGCTCGTGCCAGCAAGTTCCTTCAAGGCATGGGGGTTCTGTGTGGGAAATTTTACCCTATTCTATCATTGGTGGGGCCTGGCCCTGTCCAACATCTTCACTAATGACTTAGATGAAGGGCTAGAAGGCATGATCATCAAGTTTGCAGACAACACCAAATTGGGAGGGAGAGCCAATAGTCCAGAGGACAGGAGCAGGATTCAAAACGATCTTGACAGATTAGAGAGATGAATGGCCAAAACTAACAAAATGAAGTTCAACAGGGACAAATGCAAGATACTCCACTTAGGCAGAAAAAAAATGCAAAGATACAGAATGGGGGACAATGCCTGGCTCGAGAGCAGTACGTGTGAAAAAGATCTTGGAGTCCTCGTGGACAACAAGTTAAACATGAGCCAACAATGTGATGTGGCGGCAAAAAAAGCCAATGGGATTTTGGCCTGCATCAATAGGAGCATAGTGTCTAGATCTAGGAAAGTAATGCTACCCCTCTATTCCGCCTTGGTTAGACCACACCTGGAATATTGTGTCCAATTCTGGGCACCACAATTCAAGAGAGATATTGACAAGCTGGAATGTGTCCAGAGGAGGGCGACTAAAATGATCAAGGGTCTGGAGAACAAGCCCTATGAGGAGCAGCTTAAGGAGCTGGGCATGTTTAGCCTGAAGAAGAGAAGGCTGAGAGGGGATATGATAGCCATGTATAAATATGTGAGAGGAAGCCACAGGGAGGAGGGAGGAAGCTTGTTTTCTGCTTCCCTGGAGACTAGGACACGGAACAATGGCTTCAAACTACAAGAAAGGAGATTCCATCTGAACATGAGGAAGAACTTCCTGACTGTGAGAGCTGTTCAGCAGTGGAACTCTCTGCCCCGGAATGTGGTGGAGGCTCCTTCTTTGGAGGTTTTTAAACAGAGGCTGGATGGCCATCTGTCAGGGGTGCTTTGAATGCAATATACCTGCTTCTTGGCAGGGGGTTGGACAGGATGGCCCATGAGATCTCCTGACGTTTCTCCTGCATCTATGGATTTACTTTGCAATTCACAACAATAGCAAAATTACAGTTATGAAGTAGCAACGAAAATAATGTTATGGTTGGGGGTCACCACAACATGAGGAACTGTATTAAGGGGTCGCGGCATTAGGAAGGTTGAGAAATACTGCACTAGGAGCTTCAGATTTGCCGAACTGCCCCTTTGTTTCTCCTCCTGTGAGCATGGAAAGAAAGAGACTAGATGTCTCCCAAAAGACAGATGGATAGCAAGGCCCTAACTCTCCAATATAGCAGGCATGGGCAAACTTCGGCCTTCCAGGTATTTTGGACTTCAACTCCCACAATTCCTAATAGCCTACTGGCTGTTAGGAATTGTGGGAGTTGAAGTCCAAAACACCTGGAAGGCCAAAGTTTGCCCATGCCTGCTATATCGTAATGTGGTGCTTTGAATAAAGTCTTCTATCATTTTTCAAGCTCCTGTAATTGCGGAAGCTCAATAGCTCTACTGCTGACACTAGGAGCTTCTGATCTGCCAAACTGCCCCTTTGTTTCTCCTCCTGTGAGCATGGAAAAAGAGAGGCTAGATGTCTCCTGAAAGACAGTCAGATGGATAGCAAGGCCCTAACTCTCCGATACAGCAGACATGGGCAAACTTCGGCCTTCCAGGTGTTTTGGACTTCAACTCCCACAATTCCTAACAGCTGGTAGGCTATTAGGAATTGTGGGAGTTGAAGTCCAAAACACCCGGAGGACTGAAGTTTGCCCATGCTGTTATACAGCTTGAGGGCCCTCCAATTTTGGACTTCAACTCCCACAAATTTTGGACTTCAACTCCCACAATTCCTAACAGCCTACTGGCTGTTAGGAATTGTGGGAGTTGAAGTCCAAAACACCTGGTAGGCCAAAGTTTGCCCATGCCTGCTATATTGTAATGTGATGCTTTGAATAAAGTCTTCGATCACTTTTCAAGCTCCTGTAATTGCGGAAGCACAATAGCTCTACTGCTGGCACTGGGAGCTTCCGATCTGCCGAACTGCTGCAAATGCTGTTATTTCTGCACTACCGTTTTTGAATGCTTTTTGTAAAATTACCCCTTCTTTCTCCAAGAGAGAAATGCCACATCTGTAAACCTATGTTCTGTGTTAACTCCCGTCTTCCTGCTTGCGCCCAGTTCCCATCAGCCTTCTTCAAGGGCCGGGTCAGCCTCTGTGCCGCCTTCTGCTACGAGGTGCTCAAGTGCTGCAGCTCCAAACTCAGCTCCACGCGGAATGAGGCCTCCGCCCTCCTCTACCTCCTCATGCGCAACAACTTTGAGTTCACCAAGCGGAAGACCTTCCTGCGGACCCACCTCCAGGTGAGGAAGAAAGGACACGGGTGGGCCAGGTTCAGGGCTTGCAAGATTATGGCCCGCAAAGGACCTGAGGGAGCAGGCCAACACTCCTTTCAGCTAGCTCCACTCCTTTGCAAATTGACGGCTATTGACTTGTATCTCATTTGCCACCAAATGTAATGCTTACCTCCATTTCCAAAACCCTGAAACCAAAAAAACATTTGGTGCCACATGTAATGCGCTGCAGCACAAAGTGCACTCTTTGTAATTTGATCCCAAAAGATACACATTGTAGTGGCTGGCTGCTTAGGTTCCTTCTTTAAAGCACAAAAATGTTAGGGCATCAATGCAAAAGGAAATCTTGGGCTGCATCTATGCTGCAGAATAGTTATTTATCGTATCAGAAGTGAACCGAGGGTACAGTTGTAATGCACTTTAAAAAACACAAAGTTATGCTAATGTCCTTTGTTAAATTATGCTAAATGTCCTTTGACCAGTAGCTGGCCACTTGGAGTGCCTCTGTTGTTTCTATAAGGAGGTCCTCCATCGTGCATGTGGCAGGGCTCAGATTTCATTGTAATAGGTGGTCTGCGGTTTGCTCTTCTCTGCACTCGCATGTCGTGGACTCCACTTTGTGGCCCCATCTCTTAAGGTTGGCTTTGCATCTCATGGTGCCAGAACGCAGTCTGTTCAGCACCTTCCAGGTCACCCAGTCTTCTGTGTGCCCAGTGGGGAATCTCTCCTCCGGAATCAGCCATGGTTTTGAGGTTCCGGGCTTGAGCCTGCCAGTTTTGGACTCTCACTTGCTGAGGTGTTCCTATGAGTATCTCAATTGATCTTGAAAAACTATGTCTTGATTTAAGGCATTGGCAGGCTGGCTGATATACAAACAGAGGATGCGCTGGAGATGTCAATGCCTTGTTCCTTTCATTACAGGCTGCTACTGCCTGACAGATGTCAGATGGTGCAATACCAGCTAAACAGTATAATTTTTCCAGTGGCGTTGGGCATCCTGTCATAATGTGGTATGTCTCATTAAGAGCCACATCCACTGTTTTCACGTGGTGAGATGTATTCTACACTGGGCGTGCGTATTCAGCAGCAGAGTAGCAAAATGCAAGGGCAGATGTCTTCGCTGTGTCTGGTTGTGATCCCCAGGTTGTGCCAGTCAGCTTTCGTATGATAATATTTCTAGCACCCACTTTTTGCTTGATAGTCAAGCAGTGCTTCTTGTAAGTCAGAGCATGGTCCAGAGTGACTCCCAGGTATTTGGGTGTGCTGCAGTGCTCCAGTGGGAGGATTCCTTCCCAGGTAATCCTCAGAGCTCAAGATGCTTGTCTGTTCTTAAGATGAAAAGCACACATCTATGTTTTAGATGAAGAAAGAATCCACTTTTATTGCCTTGGTTCAGTGTTATGGAATCATGGACGGTAGTTTTGCAAGGCCTTGAGCCTTCTCTACCAAAGGGTCACCAAACAACAAATCCCAGGATCTCATAGCATTGAGCCCTGGACATTTCATTAGAGATGATATCCCTCAAAGAGGAGCTTTTGAAGCAGCTTTCCCTTTGGTTTCGGTTCAGCGCTAAGATCACCATATGACACTAAACTAATGCACATCCTAATTATGGAAAGGTCATTTAGCCCAAAAGGATGAGTTTTCAATTCAAGTAAATACAGTATTAGCGGGGTTTTTAAAATGTTGGCTCTTTCCTGTCAGAGTAAAAAATTCGAGGTGCTACGCACAGTGGAAGAGGTGCTAGATCAAACAGACACAGGACTCCAAAAATTCCAGGACGCTGCAGTTTTCAGTTTCAAAAATAACATAAAGTTTACTTAGTACATCTCAATACATGTCTACTTCTAAGCTGGCAAAATCTGGAACAACAAAGCACAGCACAAAACACTTTTCTGAACATGTGCTTATCAGGCTCTCTGGCTGTAAGCTGGAAACTCCCTTTTTCTTCCCAGCAGAGAAACTTGTTATCTAACTTCTGTCAAGGTCTCTTCTCTCTGTACCTCTCTGACTCTTACAACAACAATTCCAACACATAATTGAACATAACAGAATCCATCTTGAATACATATGAATACCATTCTTAATCATATAGAAGCACATTGAAAAACCATACATGCATACCTTCAATAATTCTGACATTTCTTTCCACTGTATTTGAGGGATTTCTACATTTTTTGCCCACAAGGACTGCTCGCCAAGGATAGTCCGGATATAATCGGTTGTTTTGATGCCTGTTTCTAGCTTTGGCTTTGTGGGATATCTGGACTTTATCAGAGAAAGGGATGGAATGCTTCTTTGATCTAGACTCTCTGTTAGATCATTTAGAGAAGGGCCACCAAAATTGTCAAAGATCTTACATTGTTCTGTAGGTTTAGCTTGGAGAAGAGATGGTTAAGAGGGGATTGGAGAGCCTTCCTTGGGTTTCCAAGCACTCCGGAACACAAGACAAGACTCGCAGTTCAGAAACAACAAACGAATTTATCCCCAAACTATCAATTTCTTTGATAGATCATCATTGCTGTGAGCCAACTGATTGCTGATGTTGCCCTTAGTGGTGGTTCGAGGTTCCAGGAGTCGCTGTCCATCATCAATAACTTTGCCAACAGCGACCGGCCGGTGAAGGTAGGTTTGGATACCCTCTCTTCAGCTCACTTCTGCTTGGGAAAGCCCTTCAGTCATGGATTGGGGCCGAAACTAAGGACTGAATAGCTGAGCTGAAAATTCAATAATTAAAGGAGAGTATTTGGCATGAATGACATGAATTCTGTGTGAATGCACCCATAGTTATAACACTTCGTTGCTATTTGAATGTCTGTGAATCATGGTGTGCTTAGAAATCTCTGCTGTCAAGTCTAATGCTGCACTGAAGGGGAAAAGACTATAGAATTCTTCACCGGATTCTGGAATCATATTGAATTTGTGTGTGTGTGTGTCAGGAGCGATTTATTTATTTACCATATTTATATACTGCCTTTCTCAGCCTGAAGGCGACTCAAGGCGGTTTACAGTCAACAATCAATGCCTCAACAACATAAAATATAATTAAAAACATTAACATATAATATGAACAATGGCTTCAAACTACAAGAAAGGAGATTCCATCTGAACATGAGGAAGAACTTCCTGACTGTGAGAGCCATTCAGCAGTGGAACTCTCTGCCCAGGAGTGTGGTGGAGGCTCCTTCTTTGGAGGCTTTTAAACAGAGGCTGGATGGCCATCTGTTAGGGGTGCTTTGAATGCAATATTCCTGCTTCTTGGCAGGGGGTTGGACTGGATGGCCCATGAGATCTCTTCCAACTCTAGGATTCTATGATTCTATATAAGACATATAAAAAAGTAGAAACAATAAAAACAGTGGGTCGTTGTAGGTTTTTTCGGGATATATGGCCATGTTCTAGAGGCATTCTCTTCTGATGTTTTGCCTGCATCTATGGCAAGCATCCTCAGAGGTAGTGAGGTCTGTTGGAACTTTTTGTTGTGTCAGGAGCAACTTGAGAAACTGCAAGTCGCTTCTGGTGTGAGAGAATTGCCCGTCTGCAAGGATGTTGCCCAGGGGATGCCCGGATGTGTTAATGTTTACCATCCCTGTAGGAGGCTTCTCTCATGTCCCCACATGGGGAGCTGGAGCTGACAGAGGGAGCTCATCCGTGCTTTCCCTGGATTTGAACTTCCAACCTGTCGGTCATCAGTCCTGTCAGCACAAGGGCTCCATGTTGAAATAATTAAGAGTTATCTGACAAAGAGGACTAATGCTAGAATTCAGAGCAGAACGCAAGTGAATGCTTCATGAGACTACAAATCCCAAGACAGGGAGCCTTGGCAGTCAAGGTGGCATCAGTCTGCTAGAGTTGTACCAATGTGTTGACCCAAAATATCGCTTCTGGCCCCTGCTTCTCCAGAACCTGCTGAGGTTGAACCTTTACTGAAGTTTTGGAGAACCTAACATTGTCCCTGTGATCCTCAACACATACAGGAAGTCCCCAAGTGACAAACATACATACACATACACACATATACATATGTGTGTGTGTATGTGTATGTGTGTGTGTAGATAGATAGAGAGAGAGAGAGAGAGATACAGGTAGTCCTCAAGTGACGAACAAGATTGGTTCTGTAGGTTTGTTCTTAAGTTGAATTTGTTTGTAAGGTGGAAGAAGCACATTTTAAAGTGTAACTACAGCCACACACACACACACACACATATATAACAGCTTTGGATAGCATGGGACAGGCTTAACACCCTGTGGTGTTTGTGTTGCTTCCTGTTCCCCTGTTCAGACGATTCCACCTCACTTTCTGTCCCTGTAATAATTTCAGAAATGTGACTTGCTGTCAGTGCTCATGTTATTGTCTATGTGATTTATTTTAATTGCATGTATTGTTGTTGTTATTGCTTGTATTGTTGTGTTGTGGGCTCGGCCTCATGTAAGTCACACCGAGTCCCTTGGGGAGATGGTAGCGGGGTATAAATAAAGTATTATTATTATTATTGTTATTGTTATTAATTCGTTCAGTCGTCTCCGACTCTTCGTGACCTCATGGACAGCCCACGCCAGAGCTCCCTGTCGGCCGTTACCACCCCCAGCTCCCTCAAGGTCAGTCCAGTCACTTCAAGGATGCCATCCATCCATCTTGCCCTTGGTCGGCCCCTCTTCCTTTTGCCTTCCACTTTCCCCAGTATCATTGTCTTCTCCAGGCTTTGCTGTCTCCTCATGATGTGGCCAAAGTACTTCAACTTTGTCTCTAGTATCTTTCCCTCCAGTGAGCAGTCGGGCTTTATTTCCTGGAGGATGGACTGGTTGGATCTTCTCGCAGTCCAAGGCACTCTCAGCACTTTCCTCCAACACCACAGCTCAAAAGCATCGATCTTCCTTCGCTCAGCCTTCCCTAAGGTCCAGCTCTCACATCCGTAGGTGACTACAGGGAATACCATGGCTTTGCCTAGGCGGATCTTTGTTGCCAGTCTGATGTCTCTACTCTTTACTTTTATCGAGACTGGACATTGCTCTCCTCCCAAGAAGTAAGCGTCTTCTGATTTCCTGGCCACAGTCTGCGTCTGCAGTAATCTTTGCACCTAGAAATACAAAGTCTGTCACGGCCTCCACATTTTCTCCCTCTATTTTCCAGTTGTCAATCATTCTTGTTGCCATAATCTTGGTTTTTTTGATTTAGCTGCAACCCAGCTTTTGCGCTTTCTTCTTTCACCTTGATTAGAAGGCTCCTCAGCTCCTCCTCGCTTTCGGCCATCAGAGTGGTGTCATCTGCATATCTGAGGTTGTTAATGTTTCTTCCAGCAATTTTTACCCCAGTTTTGCATTCATCAAGCCCCGCACATCGCATGATGTGTTCTGCATACAAGTTAAAAAGGTTGGGTGAGAGGATGCAGCCTTGCCGTACGCCTTTCCCAATCTTGAACCAGTCTGTTGTTCCGTGGTCAGTTATGACTGTTGCTACTTGGTCCTTGTACAGATTCCTCAGGAGAGAGACAAGGTGGCTTGGGATGCCCATCCCACCAAGAACTTGCCACAATTTATTATGATCCACACAGTCAAAGGCTTTAGAGTAGTCATTGAAGCAGAAATAGATGTTTTTCTGAAACTCCCTGCCTTTCTCCATTATCCAACGGATATTGGCAATCTGATCTCTCGTTCCTCTGCCTTTTCTAAACCCAGCTTGAACATCTGGCAACTCTCGCTCCATGTATTGCTGGAGTCTTCCTTGCAGGATCTTGAGCATTACCTTACTGGCATGAGAAATAAGGGCCACTGTACGGAAGTTTGAGCAGTCTTTCGCATTTCCCTTTTTTGGTATGGGGATATAAGTTGATTTTTTCCCAGTCTGATGGCCATTCTTGTGTTTTCCATATTTGCTGGCATATGGCATGCATCATCTTGATGCATGCCAATTATTATTATTATTATTATTATTATTATTATTATTATTGGAATCAAAGATTAGTGAGAAGGTTTCAGTGGAGACCTCTTTTCCCCATGATAATAACTCTTCCAAGAGTGGTTTTCCCTTCCAAAGGAAGCTTTTTCTCACTTTCTGTTGTCTCAGCCCTGTTCTTAACTAGGAGTCATTTGTAAGTAGGATGTTTGTAACTCGGGGCTGCCTGTACTCATTTATATGGCCCTGCTCTGAATCCAAGTGAAGAACTTGGGAGCCTTAACCTCACGTCCCGCTTTGTGTCCGCACTGTGGTTCTTGGCAGGCAACCGCGTTTCCTTCGGAGGTCAAAGACCTAACCAAGAAGATCCGGACAGTGCTGATGGCCACGGCGCAGATGAAGGAGCACGAGAGGGACCCTGAGATGTTGGTGGACCTCCAGTACAGCTTGGCCAAGTCCTACGCCAGCACCCCGGAGCTGAGGAAGACCTGGTTGGACAGCATGGCCAAGATCCACGTCAAGAACGGAGACTTCTCCGAGGTGACGCCCTTGGAACTGGCCAAAGGGGTAGAAAAAGGATAAAGGATACCGGGAGAAAAAGGATACCAGGGGAAATGGTGCGGGTTGGGCCTCCCTTATCCAAAATTGCTTGGGCGTGGAAGCATTCCATATTTCAAAACACCTGTATCAACATCATGAGATATGTTTCTGTAAAAAATAGATACAAAATCCGTCTATTTACTTTGTTTTTCAGGCAGCCATGTGCTACGTTCACGTTGCTGCACTTGTGGCAGAGTTTCTTCATAGAAAGAGTAAGTTATTTTTTTGGTGGAAGTCCAAAACTTGAGAACTATTTGCTTTGTGCAGATCAGTTCTCTGTTTTGTTTGCAAAGAGAAAGAAATGTACATATTTATATATGTGCATCTCCTTTTTCAATCTCTAAAAGGAGAAGTGGGCCTCCCTCCAAAGAGAGTTGAGAAGGCCAAAATTGTGACGGTTTTGGAACAGAAGGAGAAGCAAACATTGTGGTTTGCGGCTTTTCGCTGCGGTGGGTTAAAATGGAAATGTTTAGGTGCTCTGTTCGGCCTTGCAAAAGCAGCAGCTGAACTCATGACTGTAGTTTGTAGCAGAAAAATGTATATGTACATATTGTCGAAGGCTTTCATGGCCGGAATCACTGGGTTATTGTAGGTTTTTTTCGGGCTATATGGCCATGGTCTAGAGGCATTCTCTCCTGACGTTTCGCCTGCATCTATGGCAAGCATCCTCAGAGGTAGTGAGGTCTGTTGGAACTAGGAAAAAGGGTTTATATATCTGTGGAATGACCAGGGTGGGACAAAGGACTCTTGTCTGCTGGAGCTAGGTGAGAATGTTTCAACTGACCACCTTGATTAGCATATAATGGCCTGACAGTGCCTGGAGCAAACTTCACCTCTCAACAAAATGAACAAAATCTGGCTACCAGTATTAAAAAAACTCTAAAATTGCAACAGCACAACAACAGAGAGGAAACAAACAAGGACATCTAATCACCTCTCAACAAAAGTTTGCTCCAGGCACTGTCAGGCCATTGTATGCTAATCAAGGTGGTCAGTTGAAACATTCACACCTAGCTCCAGCAGACAAGAGTCCTTTGTCCCATCCTGGTCATTCCACAGATATATAAACCCTTTTTCCTAGTTCCAACAGACCTCACTACCTCTGAGGATGCTTGCCATAGATGCAGGTGCAACGTCAGGAGAGAATGCCTCTAGACCATGGCCATATAGCCCAAAAAAACCTACAACTTGGAGGATTTATGTTTTTATGTTTGATTGATTTTATTGTTTATGGAATTTTATGGATGTTTATATGCTTTTAAATGTTTATATTATCGTGGCATCAAATTGTGCCGGTTTTGTAAACGGCCCTGAGTCGCCCTTGATATCGAGCCCTTTTTTGGGGGTTCTCCCAGCGAGGGGAGTCCCTGAGGACCGCGAAAGGGGTCCTATACCTTGGTGAGCGGCCAGCGGATGCCAATTCGAAAAGCGCGAAACCGTTGAAAATCAATCTCACCAGAGGCTGAAGAGGAGATCTGCGACCGAAGCGTTTTATTGTGATTCAGCTGAGATCAGATGCATTACAGGGATATTTCCACCATAAGCATAAGGTACACTGATTTGCAGGCATATTTATACAGAAGAAACAAAGAAATCCTGGTTTGAATCTCCCGCCCGCCTCCTGTCAGTCCCCCCTGCCCTGATTGGCCGGCTCCAGAACAGCTGGGAGGAGGCTTGGCCGCTGGTCCCGCCTCCCCTCCAATCGCCGGCCGCTGTTGCCTCCAGGGGGCCAATGAGCGCTCTCGGAGCGCCTCCGGAGATTGTCCAATCACCGGCCGGGAGGCGGGATGTAGTTTTGACAGCGCAGAGGGGCGGAATGCCTGGGAGGCGTCCGCCAGCTGATTGATGATCTTTTGTTTCTTCACGGCAGGGAGGCAGACGGAGGAAACAAGGGATTTCCTGAGTTCCGATAACAGATGTGTATAGGCATAAAGGAGGGCTATGGGCGGCATTTGGATCTCAACCTTGTGGACAAAAGGGGTCTTTTGTCACAAAGGAGCGTACACAAATACCATGATTGGCTTAATCAGTCTGTTTTTCCGGGCTTTTGGCTGACAGATTTCTGGCTTTTGTTTGTCTGACTCTGAAAACAAAACCACAGATCTGCCAGTATTTGTCCATGCAATGCAAATATGAATGGAGTCTCTTCCAAGGAATTGGATTCCTTTGGCTGTAACCCCAGGTCACATACTCTTTTATAGGGTAAAGTTCAAGAGGGGAGAGGCAAAAGGAAGGGGTTGAGGGTACATCTTATTTCATTACATATTATATATTTCATGCACATATCCTACTACCTCTGAGGATGCTTGCCATAGATGCAGGTGCAACGTCAGGAGAGAATGCCTCTAGACCATGGCCATATAGCCCAAAAAAACCTACAACTTGGAGGATTTATGTTTTTATGTTTGATTGATTTTATTGTTTATGGAATTTTATGGATGTTTATATGCTTTTAACTGTTTATATTATCGTGGCATCAAATTGTGCCGGTTTTGTAAACGGCCCTGAGTCGCCCTCAGGCTGAGAAGGGCAGTATAGAAATATAGTGAATAAAAAAATAAATGTGTGTCATCTCTGAGCATATTGCTTTGGAGGCTTCAGTGCCTTCAAAGCAAATCCCAGCTTTGGCCCATCGAATGCAAAATCCAAAGCTCTTAAAAATGGCTTCAACTGTTGCATTTTCCAAAACTGTGCCACCAGAACCCACTTTTGCAGATGTTAACCCATCCCATTTTCAAGAGCATGCCCTCTCTCTCGTTGCACAGAGTTATTTCCTTCTGGATGTTCGTCATTCAAGAAAATTACTCCCAATATTGACGAAGAGGGAGCCATGAAAGAAGATGCCGGGATGATGGACGTCCACTACAGTGAGGTAATCAAGCAGATTTTATAGGAGAAATAGTTGAGAACAACAGAAAGGTCACTTGGATTTTGTTCAAATAGAACCCAAGAGGTATAATTGGTGTGGACCCAAATGTAGGAGTGGTCAGACCAATTTCTCCATTTGGTAAATATCTCTCTGCCTCTTTTTCTTCCTTCCTCCATCCCTTCTTCAGGAGGTCCTGGTGGAGTTGCTGGAACAATGTGTCGAAGGCCTGTGGAAGGCAGAGCGTTATGAAACCATCTCGGAGATCTCCAAGTTGATCATCCCCATCTATGAAAAGCGCCGTGAGTTTGAGGTAGTTGGAGACAAAGCTGGTCAGATCTCATCCCAAGAAAGAAAAAGAGTAGGCTCTAAACCTGTTGACCATGTTAGATGGTTGTACCTATTGGAAGTTCTTACCAATGGCCAGGCTTAGTAGAAGGGCAAAAAAAGAGAAGGGCAACTTTATACTAATAGGACCAGGACGGCGTATCCTTCCAATAACAATAAAGAGAGTAAAATAATAAATGTAATAATAATAATAATAATAATAATAATAATAATAATAATAAAAAACAAAAACAAGCACCGGGATTGTGGCGCAGCTGGCTGAGTGTCAGCTGCATTAAGATCACTCTGACCAAAAGGTCATGAGTTCGAAGCCAGCCCGGGTTGGAGTGGGTTTCCAACCAATTGTGTGTAGCCTGTTGTCGACCTTTGTAACCCGAAAGACAGTTGCATCTGTCAAGTAGGAAAATAAGGTACCACCTTAAAGTGTGGGGAGGCTAAATTAACTGATTTATGAGGCCATAAAGAAGACTCCAGCAAAGCATTCCAGCGGGAAGCATGCGGGGAATGCGGAAGTGCTTCATCAGCGTCACAGATGGACGATGAAAGCGACAGCTCCCCTGGCGGCCAGAAAAAGTTAAATAGTCTGTATATGTTTGTATGTCAAAAATTGGCATTGAATGTTTGCCATCTATGTGTACACTGTAATCCGCCCTGAGTCCCCTCCGGGGTGAGAAGGGCGGAATATAAAAGCTGTAAATTAATAAATAAAATATCAGTAATAGTAGAGTAAAATAATAAATGTAATAATAGAGGAAATTAATGATAACAATAAAATATAATAAAATGAATAAAAATAGTAAACTAATGGAAATGTAATAATAACTGTAATAGTAGAGTAAAATAATAAATCTAATAATAGAGTAAAATAATAAATGAGAAAGAAATTCACACATCTTAAAAAACATAGAATCATAAAATCAAAGAGTTGGAAGAGACCTCATGGGCCATCCAGTCCAACCCCCTGCCAAGAAGCAGGAATATTGCATTCAAATCACCCCTGACAGATGGCCATCCAGCCTCTGTTTAAAAGCTTCCAAAGAAGGATCCTCCACCACACTCTGAGGCAGAGAGTTCCACTGCTGAACAGCTCTCACAGTCAGGAAGTTCTTCCTCATGTTCAGATGGAATCTCCTTTCTTGTAGTTTGAAGCCATTGTTTTGTGTCCTAGTCTCCAGGGAAGCAGAAAACAAGCTTGCTCCCTCCTCCCTATGACTTCTTCTCACATATTTATACATGGCCATCATGTCTCCTCTCAGCCTTCTCTTCTGCAGGCTAAACATGCCCAGCTCTTTAAGTCACTCCTCATAGGGCTTGTTCTCCAGACCCTTGATCATTTTAATCTCCCTCCTCTGGACACATTCCAGCTTGTCAATATCTCTCTTCCATTGTGGTGCCCAGAATTGGACACAATATTCCAGAATAAAATAATAAATGTAATAATAATAGAGTAAACTAATAAATGTAATAATAATCATAATAATAATAATAATAATAATGATATAGAGTAAAATAACGTAAAGGTACTACTAATAATAAACAGAGTAAAATAATAAATGTAATAAAAATAATAACAGAGTAAAATAATAAATAAAAATATAATAATAGTAATAATAATAAATAGAGTAAAATAATAAATGTAATAAAAATAATAACAGAGTAAAATAATAAATAACTTTGGTGTGAGTATAAGCCAGGGGGGGCTTCTTCAGCCTAAAAGGGGCTTGAATATATATGGTATTTTGGACTATTTGTGCCATTTGATGTGGTATACTGCTTGGAAACCTTGAGATCTAAGTAGTATATAAAAGTTTGGAAGTAAACAAGGAAGGGAGGACAGGCCGACTGTAGGTGGCAAAAGCAAGTCCATTAGAGGAGGCTTGAGCTTTAAAAAAGAGCCCCAAAAATGTCTTGAAGTATTTGCCTTGCTTTTCTCCAGAAATTGACCCAAGTTTACAGGACACTCCATGGCGCCTACACTAAAGTCCTGGAAGTGATGCAGACCAAGAAGAGGCTGCTGGGAACATATTTCCGGGTGGCTTTTTACGGACAGGTAAGTACATGAGTGAATGGTTTTGAGTGTTGTGGATATGGGTTCGAATTCCTGGTCATCCATGGAAACCTATTGTGTGACTTTGGGTAAACCAAACATCCACTGAAGAAGGGAATGGCCAACCTCTGCTCAACAAATGAGCTTAAGGAAAACCCCTAAATTAAGTAAATAAAAGAAATAAACACATAAGAAAAGCGGTCCTTCAGTCAGATTTGAAGGCACACAATGACAGCAGAATGGATTACTTTGCTTAAGAGAATACCCCTCTATTTTGCCTTGGTTAGACCACACCTGGAATACTGTGTCCAATTCTGGGCACCACAATTGAAGAGAGATATTGACAACTTGGAAGTGTCCAGAGGAGGGCGACTAAAATAATCAAGGGTCTGGAGAACAAGCCCTATGAGGAGCAGCTTAAAGAGCTAGGCATGTTTAGCCTGAAGAAGAGAAGGCTGAGAGGAGATATGATAGCCATGTATAAATATGTGAGAGGAAGCCAGAGGGAGGAGGGAGCAAGCTTGTTTTCTGCTTCCCTGGAGACTAGGACGCAATAGAACAATGGCTTCAAACTACAAGAAAGGAAATTCCATCTGAACATTAGGAAGAACTGCCTCACTGTGAGAGCTGTTCAGCAGTGTAACTCTCTGCAGTGTGGTGGAGACTCCTTCTTTGGAGGCTTTTAAACAGAGGCTGGATGGCCATCCGTCAGGGGTGCTTTGAATGCAATATTCCTGCTTCTTGGCAGAATGGGGTTGGACTGGATGGCCCATGAGGTCTCTTCCAACTCTAGGATTCTGTGTGAAGGCCCGAGAACTTCCTGACTGTGAGAGCTGTTCAGCAGTGGAACTCTCTGTTGTGACTCAGCTTGACTCTGAGTCTGAAGCTGAGGAAGCTGAGCTGTTTGGGCCTTCTGAGCTTGACTTTGGCCTTCAGGATGATGAGGAGACTGATCGGTTACAGATTCCTGTACATGTTTCAGACAGGGCTGATAGTGTGGCTGCTGAAGAAGAAACAGCAAGTCAGTTCTCAGGGGAAAGTAATGTTCCTGCAGTTAGAGAGACCGATAGCGAGAGTGAAATCACACACGGCAAGGTGGAGAATCCATCCCAGCTGGACCCAGATAAGGGGTTGCATAGCCTTGAAGATAATGAATTAATGAGCAGACCAGATTGTTTGCAATTAAGGCTTCGGAGAAGCACTCGCTTGGCCAGCAAGCGAGAAGCCAAAGGTGCCAAAGGTCAACGCAATGTTTTCATGTTCACAAAGGGTATTTAGTCTTGTAGTTACACTTGATCTTAGCCAAAAGGCCGAGAAGCGTAAATTGTAGGGGTGATAATGAAATATGATGTATATACTCAGCTTGATAAGTTGATCAGTTTTATCATATTTATTTACTGTATTGTTACAAGTGTCATATTTTAACTTACTAAGTGGAGTGTGATAAGGTCTTGACAGTCCTTGTTGTTCTGTTTCTTATTGTGATATGGCCTAAGGGCTAATCAATAAAATTACTTACTTAGCTACTTGTAGCTGACAGGAAGTTGTTGTCAGTCCAACATTGCTCTTCCCATGTTAACTTCTGGAGATTTTCCTTGGCTTTTAGCAGCATGCTTCTGGCTTCCTGAGTCTGGGATTTGGGTCTTGTTTCCAACTGTTTGCCATGGACTTTTGTTTGACCATTGCTAAAGGATTATGCTTCATGTTTTTGCCTTTGGATCTTGGAAACTTTGCCTTTGCATTTAAGTCTCTGTTTTGCCTATGGAACTATTGCATTTCTATTTCTTTGTTTTGATTTTGCTTTTTTCAATAAACTACAAAAACCTACAGCTTTGGTGTGGTGGTGTCTGGAGCAAGGTGAATACTATCCTGAGGTGCAACACTCTCTGCCCCGCAAGTGTGGTAGAGGCTCCTTCTTTGGAAGCTTTTAAACAGAGGCTGGATGGCCATCTTTTGGGGGTGCTTTGAATGCAATTTTCCTGCTTCTTGGCAGAATGGGGTTGGACTGGATGGCCCATGAGGTCTCTTCCAACTCTATGATTCTGTATAGAGATGTATTCTGAGCACCGACCAAAAACTTGCAAAATATATTTTTGCTCAGCAGCCTCTTGTTCCTTATTCTTAAAACTCGAAGCAAAGCCAAGCTAAAAATCAGAGCAAAATAATGCTAAAACGAATCCTATGTTTGTCTCCAAAATGCCGTGTTTATTCGACGACCAAGACTGTTTGTTCCTTATTTGAAACCCAGTTCTCTTTTCAGCTCTTTCCAAGCATTGTATTTATGGTTCCTCAACAGGCGTTCTTTGAAGAAGAAGATGGCAAAGAGTACATCTACAAGGAACCCAAACTCACAGGGCTCTCGGAGATCTCCTTCCGGCTCCTGAAGCTTTACGGGGAGAAATTCGGAGCCGAAAATGTCAAAATCATCCAGGATTCCAATAAGGTGACATTCAAAGCCTTCGAGATAATAATAATAATAATAATAATAATAATAATAATAATAATAATAATCTATATAAATAAAAATGTAATGTTCGTTTGTGGGATTAAGAGAACTCAAAAACCACTGGACGAATTGACACCAAATTTGGACAGCGTATACCTAACAACCCAATGTATGCCCTTCACTCAAAAAAAATTGATTTTGTCATTTGGGAGTTGTAGTTGCTGGGATTTATAGTTCACCTACAATCAAAGAGCATTCTGAACCCCACCAACGATTGAATTGAACCAAACTTGGCACACAGAACTCCCATGACCAACAGAAAGTAGTGGCAGGGTTTGGTGGGCATTGATTTTGTCATTTAGGAGTTGTAATTGCAAGGATTTATAGTTCACCTACAATCAGAGAGCATTCTGAACTCCACCAATGATGGAATTGAACCAGTCTTGGTACACAGAACTCCCATGACCAACAGAAAATACTGGAAGGGTTTGGTGGGCAGTGTCCTTTGTTTTTGGAGTTATATTTCACCTACATCCAGAGATCACTGTGGACTCAAACAATGATGGATCTGGACCAAACTCTACACATATACTCAATATGCCCAAATATGAACACTGGTGGAGTTTGGGGAAAATAGAATCTTGACATTTGGGAGTTGTAGTTGCTGGGATTTATAGTTCACCTACAATCACAGAGCATTCTGAAGCCCACCAACGATAGAATTGGGACAAACCTCGCACACAGAACCTCCATGTGGGCCACAGCAACACGTGGCAGGGGACAGCTAATAATAATAATAATAATAATAATAATAATAATAATAATAATAATAATCTTTATTTATACCCTGCCACCAGCTCCCCAATAGGGACTCAGAGCGGCTTACATGAGGCCAAGCCCAAACAACAAATTACAATAGAGTCAAACCGAAAACACAAACCGAAAATGCAAACAATAAACAACATAATTACATAAAACATGAGAATACATAACAATATAAAATTACAATTCGAGATGTCACCTGTTCCCCATTTTTTCCTTTGTTGTTAAGAAATATATGAGAAACAGTGGAAATACTGGGATGCTGTGAGTTTCCCGGTCTGTACGGCCATGTTCCAGAAGCATTCTCTCCTGGCTCTGGCATAAACTAGTACAGGTGGTCCCAGTGGTCATCAGCACACTGGGTGCCGTGCCAAAAGTTCTCAACCAGCATTTGGAAACAATAAACATTAACAAAATCACAATCTGTCAACTGCAAAATGCCACCTGACTTGGATCTGCACACATCATTCCAAAATACATCACACAATCCTAGTCCTAGCATATAGATCTCGTTTGCTGTGATATACTGTGTCAATAACAATAATAAATTATTGTTATTAATAATATGTTATTAATAATTAATAACAATGTATTATAATTATAATTATAGTATTGCTACTATTACTATTTATTATGATGATAATTATCTTCCAATTTGATCTTCCCATCTCCTAGAAAGCATTCTCATAAAAATACCTCTATACAATATGAAAAATCCTCAGGGTTTTTATTTATGTAATGACTTTTCTTTGGGTCTGCCTGTACTGCAGACTCAATGTAGTTTGACAACACTTGAACTGCCATGACTCAATGCTATGGAGTCATGTGAGTTGCAGTTCATGACCTTGTAAAACTGCAATTCCCAGGATCCCACAGGATTGAGATGTGGCGGTTCAAGTGGTACCAAACGGCATTCATTCTCTGTGTAGATGCCCCCCATTAGAGCAGTTTCTGTTGTTGCTTCCTCCAGGTAAACCTCAAGGACCTGGACCCCAAATACGCCTACATCCAGGTGACCTACCTGAAGCCCTACTTTGACGAGAAGGAGCTCTCCGAGAGGAAGACGGCTTTCGAGAGGAACCACAACCTCAGCCGCTTTGTCTTTGAGACGCCGTACACCTTGTCCGGGAAGAAGCACGGAAACGTGGAGGAGCAATGCAAGCGGAGGACGATCCTCACCAGTGAGTCTGGTCATAGAATCATAGAATCAAAGAATTGGAAGAGACCTCATGGGCCATCCAGTCCAACCCCATTCTGCCAAGAAGCAGGAATATTGCATTCAAATCACCCCTGACAGATGGCCATACAGCCTCTGTTTAAAAGCTTCCAAAGAAGGAGCCTCCACCACACTCCAGGGCAGAGAGTTCCACTGCTGCACGGCTCACACAGTCAGGAAGTTCCTCCTCATGTTCAGATGGAATCTCCTTTTTTGTAGTTTGAAGCCCTTGTTCCGCGTCCTAGTCTCCAGGGAAGCAGAAAACAAGCTTGCTCCCTCCTCCCTGTGGCTTCTTCTCACATATTTATACATGGCTATCATATCTCTTCTCAGCCTTCTCTTCTTCAGGCTAAACATGCCCAGCTCCTTAAGCCGCTCCTCATAGGGCTTGTTCTCCAGACCCTTGATCATTTTAGTCGCCCTCCTTTGGACACATTCCAGCTTGTCAATATCTCTCTTGAATTGTGGTGCCCAGAATTGGACACAATATTCCAGGTGTGGTCTAACCAAAGCGGAATAGAGGGGTAGCAGGACTTCCCTAGATCTAGACACTAGGCTCCTATTGATGCAGGCCAACATTTCTAAATTGCAGGAGGAGAAGCAAGAAAAAGAGGGAGGGAATGAACACATGGGATGTACAAAGCCCTGTTGTGATGTCAGGCAGCCCAGCCAATTTATTTATTTATGTATTTCCAGGGTGATCAGGCCCAGCTGGGCCAAGATAATGAGTCATCTAGCCTTGAAAATAATAGTGAATTAATGAGTAGACAGAATCGTTTATAGTTAAGAGTTCGCAGAAGCACACGTCTTGCCAGCAAACGTGAAGCCAAAGGTCAACACAATGCGTTCATGTCAGGGAAACTTGTTTAATGATGAAGCCGACAGGCATTTTCTGTCAGTCCAATGTTGCTCTTTCCTGGTTAACTTCTGTGAAATTACCTTGGCTTTTGCAGAACGCTTCTGGCTTCTTTGGGACTTGGATTTTGATCCTGATGTTACCTGTCTACCATGGACTCTTGTTTGACCATTGGCTAAGGGATTATGCTCCATGTTATTTGCCTTTGGACCTTATTTATTATTATTTATTTATTTCAAACATTTCTACCCCACCCTTCTCAACCCCAAGGGGGACTCAGGGCAGCTTACAATTGGCAATAATTCAATGCCGCATCATAAAATACAGAATACAGAATAACAAATATAACAATTAACATGAACATTAATAAATAAAGATTAAAACAGTATACTTACACTCTGATTAGCTATTGCCCGCCTGGTGGCTGTTTAGCTAGCCATCTACTAATGAATACGGTGCTTAACTTTGTTTACCTGCTTGAAGGCTCTTTTGTTTTGCTAATTACACTGCTGTTAAGTGCTGTTTTCAGTTAGAGACTCATTAAAGACTGCTATTAACACTTCAATTGCTGTGTAAGAAAATCTCTGCTACCTGAGTCACAACATCCATGCCATAGTCAAACATTATCAATTGTCCTTTAGCATGATTGCCCAAAGGCCTGGTCCCACAGCCATGTTTTAACCTTTTTTCTAAAGGTGAGGAGGGATGACGATGACCTAATTTCCCCGGGGAGCAAATTCCACAGGCGGGGGGCCACCACCGAGAAGGCCCTGTCCCTCGTCCCCCCCAAGCGTGTTTGAGACAAAGGCAGGGGCCGAGAGCAGGGCCTCCCCAGAAGATCTTAAACTCCAAGGTGGGACGTAGAAGGAGATACGTTCGGACAGGTACACTGGGCCAGAGCCGTATAGGGTTTTGTAGGTCAAAAACAGCACTTTGAATTGTGCTCGGAACTGGATCGGCAGCCAGTGGAGCTGACACAACAGAGGGGTGGTATGCTCCCTGTATGACGCTCCGGTGAGTAATCTAGCTGCCGCCCGTTGGACTAATTGAAGTTTCCGAACAGTCTTCAAAGGCAACCCCACGTAGAGCGCGTTGCAGTAATCTAGGGATGTGACAAGAGCGTGGACCACCGTGGCCAGATCCGACTTCCCAAGGTACGGGCGCAGCTGGCGCACAAGTTTTAATTGTGCAAAAGCTCTCCCGGCCACCGCTGAGACCTGGGGTTCCAGGCTCAGCGATGAATCCAGGATCACTCCCAAGCTGCGAACCTGCGTCTTCAGGGGAGTGTAACCCCTTCTAACACAGGCTGTAACCCTAACCCCTGTTTGCCTTTGAAATTAAGACTCTGTTTTGCCTATTGAACTTCTGCATCTTTATTTCTCTGTTTTGATTTTGCCAAAACCTTGGTGTGTGGTGGTGTCTTGAGCAAGGTGAAAACTACCCTGAGTTGCGACATCTTGCTCCAACACCCCTCTGTCTGGACACCTACAGAACCATCAGACCCTCCACCCTCAAACCCCTCATCATCATCAGCTGGCTGAACTACAACAAGAGCAAGCTGACCAATGATGTTGAAGGATTGGGAGAGTGAGGTCAAAGGCTGGAGACAGAACGGTCAAAAGTTAAGGAGGATGTTATTAAAGTCTATTGCTTTGATGGGTTTCCTTGTGTTCGTAGCTGCAATATTTCCATAAAATAGAGCTCAAAAATTATGAATGCCAGAAAAATGTCATTGGCTGCTATTTCTTCCAGACGTCTAGCTTTTATGACTGCTTTTCAACGTTTCCATGCTGTTGTGGTTTTTATTTTTCATTTCTGCTGCTGGCTGCTGTTCCTTACTAGAAACCTTATGGTACAAATCCATGCTCACACCCTCTAAAATAGCAATAGTCATAAACCTGTAAATGAATCAATCCGGCTGTTGTGAGAGCAGCTCTATGGGACGCGTCCGGCCAACCTTTTCTCCTCTCTCCAGCCGCCAGCTCGTTCCCGTATGTCAAAAAGAGGATTGCCGTCAGTTATGAGCAACAGGTCAACCTGAAGCCGATCGATGTAGCAACTGATGAAATCAAAGCCAAAACAGAGGAGTTGCAGCAATTGTGTGCGTCGCCGGACGTGGACATGATCCAACTCCAGCTGAAACTTCAGGGCTCTGTTTCAGTGCAGGTGAGCATCGCGAATCACATTATTATTATTATTATTATTATTATTATTACTATTGCTATCATCATCGTTGTTGTCATCATCTCACCTCCCTCTCTTAAAGGCGACTCAAAACATGGCAGTGTGCTTTGAATATCATCATCGTCATCATTATCATCTCACCATCCTCTCTTAAAGGGGACTCAAAGCATGAGAGTATGTTTTAAATATTACTAGCTGACCCCTGCCACGCGTTGCTGTGGCCCAGTCTGTTGATCTGGAAAACAGAGGAATGAGAAAGTGTTGGTTTCTAATATATGTAATTTGTTTATGCTTGTGGGTAAACAGTTGCTGTTTCTTTTGTCAGTGTTGATGTGGAGAGTGTCTGGTTTGCCCACATATCATTGTCCTCCTTTAAGGGTCCCTTTCAAATCTATACTATATCTCTCTGTGTGTGAATCATATCTATCTATCTCTCTATATCTATGGCTGGGTGGCTCTTTGTCCAGAGGACTTTGATTACGTTTTCTTGCCCTAATGACGGGAGTTGGATTGGATGGCCTTAAGTATTTTCTGTTGGTCATGGGGGTTCTATGTGGGAAGTTTGCCCCGATTCTGTCGTTCGTGGGGTTCAGAATACTCTTTGATTGTAGGTGAACTATAAATCCCAAATATCAAGGCTATTTTCCCCAAACTCCATCTGTGTTCATATTTGGGCATATTGAGTGCTTGTGCCAAGTTTGGTCCAGATCCATCATTGTTGGAGTCCACAGTGCTCTCTGGATGTAGGTGAACTACAACTCCAAAACTCAAGGTCAGTGCCCATCATACCCTTCCAGTATTTTCTGTTGGTCATGGGAGTCCTGTGTGCCAAGTTTGGTTCAATTCCATCGTTGATGGAATTCAGAATGCTTTTTGATTGTAGGTGAACTATAAATCCCAGCAACTACAACTCCCAAATGACAAAATCATAATTTTTTGAGTGATGGTCACTCCTTGTGTTGTGAGAGGTTTTGTTGCCAAATTTGGTGTTATTTCGTTCATTGGTTCTTTTGTTCTTAAGGAACTCATTATGCACAGAGCATTTTTATATATATAGATTATTATTATTATGACCATCATCATCATCTCACCTCCCTCTCTTAAAGAGACACAAAGCATGCAGGTATGTTTTGAATATCATCATCATCATCATGATCATCATCATACCCTGCTTTCCTTTCTTAAAGGAGATTCAAAACATTGGAGTGTGATGATGATGATGATGATTATATCTCACTCTCCTCTCTTATAAGAGACTCAAAGCATGTGAGAGGACTTTAATTGTTGTTGTTGTTATGTTGAAGGCTTTTGTAGCCGGAATTACTGGGTTGCTGTGAGTTTTCCGGGCTGTCTATGCCTTGTTCCAGAAGCATTCTCTCCTGACATTTTCCCCACATCTATGGCAGGCATCCTCAGAGGTTGTGAGGTCTGTTGGAAACAAAGCCAGTGAGGTTTATATATCGGTGGAATAATGTCCAGAGTGGGAGAAAAAAACTTCTCTGTTGAAGAGTCTGGAGAACAAGCCCTATGAAGAGTGGCTTAAAGAGCTGGGCATGTTTAGCCTGAAGAAGAGAAGGCTGAGAGGAGACATGATAGCCATGTATAAATATGTGAGAGGAAGTCACAGGGAGGAGGGAGCAGGCTTGTTTTCTGCTGCCCTGGAGACTAGGACACGGAATAATGGCTTCAAACTACAAGAAAGGAGATTCCATCTGAACATTAGGAAGAACCCAGGATGGCCCATGAGGTCTCTTCCAACTCTAGGATTTTATGAGGCAAGTGTGAATGTTGCAATTAGCCAGCTTGATTATCACTGCAAATCCTTGCAGCTTTAAGGCCTGGCAGCTTCCTGCCTGGAGGAATCCTTTGTTGGGAGGTACTTTCTGGCACTGATAGTTTCCTGTCTGGAACTCCCCTGCTTTCTATATTTACTGTCCTGATTTTAGAGATTTTTAATACTGGTAGCCAGAATTTGTTCATTTTCATGGTTTCTTCCTTTCTGTTGGAATTGTCCACATGCTTGTGGATTTCACTGGCTTCTCTGTGTAGTCTGACATGGTGGTTGTGAGAGTGGTTCAGCATTTCTGTGTTCTCAAATAATATGCTGTGTCCAGTTTGGTTCATCAGGTGCTCTGCTATGTATGACTTCTCTGGTTGAATTAGTCTGCAGTGCCTTCTATGTTCCTTGATTCGTGTCTGGGCAATGGTGAGTTTGGTGGTCCCTCTGTAGACTTGTCCACAGCTGCATGGTATATGGTAGACTCCTGCAGAGGTGAGAGGATCCCTCTTGTCCTTTGCTGAACGTAGCATTTGTTGGATTTTCTTAGTAGGTCTGTAGATACAAACTATGTATAGTTTCCAACAGACCTCACAACTTCTGAGGCTGCATGCCATAGATGTGGGTGAAAAATCAGGAAAGAATGCTTCTAGAACATAACCAGTTGTTGTTGTTATATTCTGCTTCTTCTCTTTGATGAGGCTGAAAGCATGGGTGGGTGTTTGATGATGAGGATGATGATTATTATTATTGATTCAAAAGCACAGTATGTCACAGCAAACGAGATCTATATGCTGGATTTCATATCACAAAATCACAAGTCGAACACTTCCCAAGTGTCTAGCACTGTGTGATGTATTTTCGAATGATGCGCACAGATCCAAGTCAGGTGGCCTTTTGTAGTTGACAGATCGTGATTTTGTCAATGTTTATTGTTTCCAAATGCTGGCTGAGATCTTTTGGCACGGCACCCAGTGCGCCAATGACCACTGTGACCACCTGTACTGGTTTATACCAGAGCCTTTGCAGTTCGATTTTGAGGTCTTGATAGCAGCTGAGTTTTTCCTGTTGTTTTTCCTGGTATGGCGACATCAATAATCCAGACTTTTTTCTTTTACACAATCGGGATGTCTGGTGTATTGTGTTCCAAAACTTTGTCAGTCTGGATTCGAAAGTCCCATAGTATTTTGGCATTATTAATCATAATTATAATTATTATTATAATTATTATAATTATTATAATTATTGATAATGCCAAAATACTATGGGACTTTCGAATCCAAAGTTTTGGAACACAATAATTATTATAATTATTATAATTATTATAATTATTATAATTATTATAATTATTATAATTATTATAATTATTATACCCGGATGTTTTGATGTTTTACCATCCTCGTGGGAGGCTTCTCTCATGTCTCCGCATGGGGAGCTAGAGCTGACAGAGAGAGCTCTCCCCGGATTCGAACCTCCAACCTGTCGGTCTTCAGTCCTGCCTGCACAAGGGTTTAATACATTGCAGCACTGGTGCTCCATGACGATGATGATGATTATATTTATACCCTGCTTTCCTCTCCAGATCAAGACCTATAGCCACTCTGCACCTTAGAAAGAATACAAACATACAAAACATAAGTACCAAAATAAAATTAGACATAGTTATTTGAAAAAGTGAGTTGAAATCACACTAAACGAGTAAAAGCCATTGAAACCCCATTTACTTGTACTCAAAACCCTACCTAGATCAATAGATAAGATAAAGGTAAAGTTTTCCCCTTGTCATCAAGTCTAGTCATGTCCGACTCTAGGGGGTGGTGCTCATCTCCATATCTAAGCCGAAGAACCGGCATTGTCCATAGACACCTCCTAGGTCATGTAGCCAGCATGACTGCATGAGGCACCATTATCTTCCCGCAGAAGTGGTACCTATTGCTCTACTCACCTTTGCATGTTTTCAAACTGCTAGGTTGGCAGAAGCTGGGGCTAACAACGGGAGCTCACCCTGCTCCCAGGATTCAAACCGCCGATCTTTCGGTCAGCAAGTTCTGCAGCTCAGCGGTTCAACTGGCTGCGCCATCAGGGAGCCCTGTGTTTTCCTATACATTGGGAATAAATAAAGCACTTGACCAAAGGCAAATTTGCTTTCTGGGAAATCATTAACCAAGCGGGTGGACTTTTCAGTCTATTCTATTTGCTAGAGTTATGAATGATGCAATGAGATGTTTTATTTATTTATTATTTATTTACTATACTTCTACTCTGCTGTTCTCACCCCGAAGGGGACTCAGAGTGGCACGATTCAATGCCACATTACAAATATAAATAACATATAAACACACAACCACATGGAGTTAGAAAATATTTATTTTATTTATTTATCATTTCAGGAGTGAACCAAGGGTACAATTGTAATGTATTAAAACAACTCAAAAGTTTAAAAACTTGGTAATTATATTAAATGCCCATTGACCAGTAGTTGGACACTCTGAGTGCCTCTGGTGTTGCTATAAGGAGGTCCTCCATTGTTTATGTGGCAGGGCTCAGACTGCATTGTAATACATGGTCTGTGGTTTGCTCTTCTCCGCATTCACATGTCATGGACTCCACTTTGTGGCCCCATTTCTTAAGGTTGGCTCTGCATCTCGTGGTGCCAGAGCACAGTCTGTTCAGCGCCTTCCAAGTTGCACAGGGGGGAGTCTCTCATTGGGTATCAGCCATGGGTGCAGGTTCTGTGTTTTAGCCTGCCACTTTTGGACTCTTGCTTGCCGAGGTGTTCCTGTGAACAGAACAGAAGCGTTAAAAAATAGATAAAAATATATAAATACAATTAAAAGATGAAAAATATGAAAAACATAATGCCGAGACCCATAGTCATTGTTAGTGCTGCATTATTCCATGTTGCACTATTCCCCATGCCACAGATAGGTTTTCGGCTTTTTCCTGAATGTGAGGAGGGAGGGGACCAGTTTGATATCACTGGGAAGGGAGTTCCATAGTCGAGGGGCCACCAGTGAGAAGGCCCTGTCTCTCATCCCCACCAATAATAATAATAATAATAATAATAATAATAATAATAATAATAATAATACAGTAGAGTCTCACTTATCCAACCTTCACTCATCCAATGTTATGTATTATCCCCACCTGGATCCACAGCTGTTTCAAATGATTACGATGTTTTGGTGCTAAATTCGTAAATACAGTAATTACTACATACTTTTTTTCTGTGCAGAAAATGCAACAATGAGAAAGAGCCATGTGTGCATAACATTATTATTACTACTATTATTATTATATTCCATTTCTGTCTCTTAAAGGAGAGTCAAAGCATGGGAGTGTTGTTGTTGTTATATTTAATAGGCCAAATTTCTCTCTGAAAAGAGAGTCAAAAGTGGCTAGCAATGTGAAAAACAGTTCAAACCCTAAAATCATATCAACATGGACAGAGAATTCAGTATTGTTGTGTTTGGGCTCGGCCTCATGTAAGCCGCACCGAGTCCCTTGGGGAGATGGTAGCGGGGTACAAATAAAGTGTTATTATTATTATTATTATTATTATTATTATTATTATTATTATTATTATTATTATTGTGAATACTTCTATGGACAGGGAGCTCTGGTGTGGGCTGGTCCATGAGGTCACGAATAGTCGGAAATGACTGAACGACTGAACGAATAAACAACAACAACTTCTATGGATAAATATTGCTGTCTCTTCCATCCTTTAGGTCAATGCTGGCCCCTTGGCGTATGCCCGGGCTTTCCTCGACGACAAACACTCCGGCAAATACCCCACCAAGAAGGTGACTGAGTTGAAAGAGATGTTCCGGTAAGTTTAGTATTCCTTCCTATTTGTTCTTCATGGGATTTCATTCTCTCTGGTCTTCTCTATTGGCGGCCATCAAGGTCCCAGGACAGGATCCTCGCCTTCAAAGGGATCCTTCGCAACATCCAGAAAAGGACAGAGCTTCCAGCCCTTGGCTCCCCAAGTCCTCTCCCCATCACCTCCTCCCTCTTCTCCCTTCCTCCTCTTCCTCCTTTCTTTCTCCTAACCTCTGCTGCTCTCTGTCTCCTTTCTCCTTTCTTCCTCCTTTCTTCTTCTTCGTCTCTACTTCTCCCTTCTCCCTTCCTCTTCATCCTTTCTTTCCAACTTTCTTCCTTCCTCTCTCCTTCTCCCTTCCTCCTCTTCCTCCTTTCTTTCTCCTAACTTCCTTCTGAATTCCAGTCACTTCAAGGATCCATCTTGTCCTTGGTCGGCCCCTCTTCCTTTTTCCTTCCATTTCCCCCTGCATAATTGAATCATAGAATCAAAGAGTTGGAAGAGACCTCATGGGCCATCCAGTCCAACCCCCTGCCAAGAAGCAGGAATATTGCATTCAAATCACCCCTGACAGATGGACATACAGCCTCTGTTTAAAAGCTTCAAAGAAGGAGCCTCCACCACACTCCGGGGCAGAGAGTTCCACTGCTGAAGCTCTCACAGTCAGGAAGTTCTTCCTCGTGTTCAGATAGAATCTCCTTTTTCCTTCTTCCTCTCTCCTTCTCCTTCACCCTTACTCCTCTTCTTCATGTCTTTTTAACTCCTTCTTCTCCCCTTCTCCCTGCCTCCTCTTCCTCCTTTCTTTCTCCTAACCTCTGCTGTTCTCCTTCTCCTTTCGCCTTCTTCTTCCTCCTTTCTTCTCCTTACACATACCCTGCCTCCTTCTTCCTCTCTCCTTCTCCCTCCCTTCTCTTCCTTCTTTATTTCTCCTAACTTCTTCTGCTCTCCTTCCTTCCTCCTCTTCCTCCTTTCTTCTCTTCGCACTTCCTCTTTCTCCTTACTCCTTTCTCCTCTCCCCTTCTGGAATTTTCCTCCTCCTTCTTTCCTCCTTCTCCCTCTTTTCTTCTCCTTCTTCTCCCATCCCACTCTTCTTCCTTTTATAACCTTACACATCCCCTTTCTCCTTCTTCCTCTCTCCTTCTCCTTCACCCTTACTCCTCTTCTTCATGTCTTTCTAACTCCTTCTTCTCTCCTTCTCCTTGCCTCTTCTTCCTCCTTTCTTTCTCCTAACCTCTGCTTCTCTCCTTCTCCTTTCGCCTTCTTTCTTCTTCCTCCTTTCTTCTCCTTGCACATCCCCTGTCTCCTTCTTCCTCTCTCCTTCTCCCTCCCTTCTCTTCCTTCTTTATTTCTCAACTTCTTCTGCTCTCCTTTTTTCTCCTCTTCCTCCTTACTTCTCTTCGCACTTCCTCTTTCTCCGTACTCCTTTCTCCTCTCCCCTTCTGAATTTTCCTCCTCCTTCTTTCCTCCTTCTCCCTCTTTTCTTCTCCTTCTTCTCCCATCCCACTCTTCTTCCTTTTATAACCTCACACATTCCCTTTCTCCTTCTTCCTCTCTCCTTCTCCTTCACCCTTACTCCTCTTCTTCATGTCTTTCTAACTCCTTCTTCTCTCCTTCTCCCTGCCTCCTCTTCCTCCTTTTTTTCTCCTAACCTCTGCTGCTCTCCTTCTCCTTTCTTCTCTTTTTTCTTCCTCCTTTCTTCTCCTTACACATACCCTGCCTCCTTCTTCCTCTCTCCTTCTCCCTCCCTTCTCTTCCTTCTTTATTTCTCCTAACTTCTTCTGCTCTCCTTCCTTCCTCCTCTTCCTCCTTTCTTCTCTTTGTGCTTCCTCTTTCTTCGTCTTTCCTCCTCTCCCCTTCTGGCTTTTCCTCCTCCTCCTTTCCTACATTCTCCTTCTTCCTCCTCTTCCTTCTTCTTCGTTCTTATCCTTGCGAATCTCCTTTCTCCTTCTTCATCTCTCCTTCTCCTTTGCCCTTCTTCCTCCTTTCTTCTCCTTCTCCTTCTCCTTTCTCCTCTTTCCTCCTCTCTTCCTCCTCCTCCTTCCTTCTTTTCCCTTCTCTTTTTCTTTCCTTCCTTTTTCCCTCTGCTCCTTGCTCCTCCTTCCTCTCTTCTCACCTCCTCTTCCCTTTTCTTTCTCCTCTATTAACTTTATTGATATCCCACCTGTGGATGGAAAAAATATCCATAATTATTGGTTCCCAAGTGGAAACACATATTTCCCCCGAAAGAGTTGGGAAACCCCATTGGAAAGAATAATAGATTAGAGAGATTTCTCCTGGTGTTTTGAATACTCCAAAATGTTTCTGCAGAGAGAGAAAAATGGGTTTTATATGCAGAAAATCATTTTCCTGCAGGGAAAACATAGTTTTGTTTGTATATCTTTCCGTACAGCGTATTTCCTCCCTTCTTGGATACGGTGATATAGGGATAATATGGGGAGACTATGAAGATCAGAACTCAGATATAGTGAAAAGATGGGAAATGTGAGCATCATTGGGCAGATAGGGTCTGGAGAACAAGCCCTATGAGGAGTGGCTTAAAGAGCTGGGCATGTTTAGCCTGAAGAACAGAAGGCTGAGAGGAGATATGATGGCCATGTATAAATATGTGAGAGGAAGCCACAGGGAGGAGGGAGCAAGCTTGTTTTCCGCTTCCCTGGAGACTAGGACACCGAACAATGGCTTCAAACTACAAGAAAAGAGATTCCATCTGAACATGAGGAAGAACTTCCTGACTGTGAGAGCCGTTCAGCAGTGGAACTCTCTGCCCCGGAGTGTGGTAGAGGTTCCTTCTTTGGAAGCTTTTAAACAGAGGCTGGATGGCCATCTGTCAGGGGTGATTTTAATGCAATATTCCTGCTTCTTGGCTGAATGGGGTTGGACTGGATGGCCCATGAGGTCTCTTCCAACTCTTTGATTCTATGGGGAAAATAGTAGAGTTATGGGGAGAATACTACAGAGGACTATTCACTGTATTCATCTTCTAGACATGGATGAAATAGTTGAGGATTTGCATCCCCAACTTTGTATCTACGCTGTGAAATTAATGCAGTTTGATACCTCTTTAACTGTCATGGCTTAATAATATGGGATTGTGAGAGTTGTAGTTTCACAAGGCCTGGCAAAGAGTGCAAACGGCAACTCCCAGGAGTCCATCGCAGCTGAAGTGTATCGAACTGGATTAAATCCACAATGTGGAAACAGTGTGAACGAGTCACTGGAACCAAAGTATTACGGGGCCCAGGCGCTATAACTCCCATCTTCCGGTCTTTCGCCAGGAGGTTCATCCAGATCTGTGGGGTTGCCCTGGGGCTGAACGAGCGGCTGATCAAAGAGGACCAGGCGGAGTACCACGAAGAGCTCAAGTCCAACTTCAGGGACATGGCCAAGGAGCTTTCGGACATCATCCACGAACAGGTAAACAGGCGCTACGTCTCTCCAAACATTCCCAGGTGCCCTTGATCCTGGTATTTGGCAAAGAGAATTCTCCAGGCAACACAGATACGCTCTAGGGTTGATCTGGCTAAATCAGACGCCTTCCAGGGGGGAACCAAACTACACATCCCATTCACAGGGTTAAACCCCTGTGCCGGCAGGACTGAAGACCGACAGGTCGCAGGTTCGAATCCGGGGAGAGGCGGATGAGCTCCCTCTATCAGCTCCAGCTCCTTGTACGGGGACATGAGAGAAGCCTCCCACAAGGATGATAAAAACATCAAATCATCCAGGCGTCCCCTGGGCAACGTCCTTGCAGACAGCCAATTCTCTCACACCAGAAGCGACTTGCTCCTGACATGACAAAAAAAACTTGACCACTGGACTTATTTCCCAGAGTACTTGAGATTCTGGGAGTTGCAGTCCAAACAAACACACTGTTTCCAAGCTTTGCCTCCTTCTTTTAAACAGAAACCGGATGGTCACCTGTTGGGGGGACTTTGATTGTGCTCTTCCTGCATTTCAAGTAGTTGGACTAGATGGTCCTTGGGGTCTCCTCCAACTCCACGATTCTATAGGATTGAAGCATTTCTCTTGAAGCTTCCAGGTGCCTTTCCCAACAACAACAACATCAATGCTATTGGGTTGTTTTAGGTTTTTTCGGGCTATATGGCCATGGTCTAGAGGCATTCTCTCCTGATGTTTCGCCTGCATCTATGGCAAGCATCCTCTGAGGTAGTGAGGTCTGTTGGAACTAGGAAAAAACGTTTATATATCTGTGGAATGACCAGGGTGAGACAAAGGGCTGTTGTCTGCTGGAGCTAGGTGTGAATGTTTAGATGCAGGCGAAACGTCAGGAGAGAATGCCTCTAGACCATGGCCATATAGCCCGAAAAAAACCTACAACAACCCAGTGATTCCGGCCATGAAAGCCTTCGACAATACATCAATGCTATTCTTTCCCTGTAAAGTTCAGACTAAAAACCAGAACGGATTATCCCATCCGTCAACGTGGGAAGGAATCTCCACTCCTGCCTAGATCCCCACTGTTTCTGCTTTTGTTCTTCATGGAAATGCAAATGCATTTGCAGCTCACCTTGATCTGCCTGTTTGGTTTGCATACAGGTGTCTTGTATGAGCCATTTCGTTATTATTCAAATCAAGGTATCTGTTATTATATATATATATATATATATATATATATATATATATATATATAATACAAAACAACAACACCACCTCATCTTTCTCCCTACTTTCTGACATGAGATTCATAAGTAATGATTTCTATTAATGTTGCCATTTATTTCTCCATAATGTTAATATAGTACAGGTTGAGACTCCCTTATCCAAAATGCTTGGGGCCAGAAATGTCCTGGCTTTTGAAATACTTGTATTTGCATAGACATTTGTCATTACATATCTATATATCTCTATATATTTCATCTACTGCTATCTCTCTTTCTCTCTCTGTTTATATATATGCAAATACACCTGTATATCCAGCAGGGCCGTAGCCAGAAAAAATTTTTGGGAGGGGTTGAAATTTTGGGGGGGGGGGGTTGAAAATTTCGCGGGGGGGGGGTTGAAACCTGCCTCCTAGCTCACGCTGAAGCAAAGAGCACAGCAGGGGGCAGAGCAGCCTTCAATAGCCTGCAGCTCCGCCCTTGTCAACCACCTCCACCAAGTCTGGCCTCCTTAATGAGAGCATTCAACACTCCCCCCCCCCCCAACTTGGTTGCTTCACTACTGTTCTGTCACGCGCTGGGCCTGTAAATAATTGTCTTTAGAACAGGATGTGCAACCTTTGCCCAGCGGGAAGCCAGGGGGCCTAAAGAGAAGTTCTCAGAGGTTTCCACCACAAACAGTCTTTAGATGGCTTGAGAAGTACAACAAAGTCTTTTATTAATGAACAATCAAACAGAATCTTCTCTTGTCCTCAGTAAAGTTAAGAAAATGATTCCAAGCTTTTAGGCAACTGGTGAATTCCTAATCTTGCCCACGAAGGACAGGCAACTGTCTTCAATAACTTCTTCTTTAAAGGAAAATCCCCTTTTTAACTTCTCCCAGGCTGACTGTAATCTAACCCTTACTGACGTGGCTCCGCTACCGGGTCGAACTGCGTCTCGAACGCCGAGTGGACCTACCAGCAAGGCAGTAGATGTTCTCCAGCTGGAGTTCTTTGGTCTTTAGGGCTGTTTTCCTGGAAATTCTTTGGAGACTCTTAAGACCTTTCTCCCCCGGAAGGTCTTAAGGGTTGAAGCTTTTGTACAGGGGAAGCTTGCACACATCCTATACATAAGTTTACCTTGCTGAGACTAACTAAAAATGGCTCCCTTCCCTTCCCAATTGCCCTGAGCAAGGGGCGGGACCAAAACTTAACGATGATGGACAGGTGACTTGCCCTATGACTGCAACCAAAGAAGCCACCTATCTGCAGAGTCCCTGAAACCTAGGACTGCAATCAAACATTTAATACAAAGCAAATAAAGTTGGAGCTCCTGGTACAGCTGTACCAGAACAACTACATCAGCTATTGCTGCAAGTAATGACAGTGTGAATAAATTGTCAATATTTGTTTGAGATAGTGCTTGCAGTTCTGGAGGGACTCTTGATTTTTTGCATCTCGTAGACTTAGCAGCATGGGGATTTGGTTAACCAGTTAAAATTCATGAGTAAACCAGGTTTTTTAAAAAAAATCTGAAACATTTTGGGGGGGTTGAACCCCTAACCCCCCCCTCGCTACGGGCCTGATATCCAGGTATGTTGCAGATGGGACCCAACTCTAAACACAAAATTTAGTTATGTTTTCATAGAGATCGTAGTCACGGTGTCGTGAACCAGAATCCTTAAAGGAGCCAAACACAAGTAAAAGGTCCCAACAAGGTTTATTAAAGTAACAAAAATAGCTTAGAAACACTTAACTCAGTGTATCTAGCAAGAAAACAAAGTCTGTAGCAAACTGCTATGCAAAAAACGCAACTTGAAAAATAATCCAGATTATACAGGAATATAATCTGGGATAACAAAAACTTTAAGCAAACTGCTTCAAAATCACAGCGTTCAATACACACAATGTAGCAAGGTGGGAGCAAGCAAAAACGTAGTCAGGAAACAGTCCAAAGTCGAGGCACGTCCAAAAGCAGAAGTTAAGTCCAAAATGCGATGTCGTCGTCCAAAAAACAATCCGAAGTCAGCAAGGAAGTAGAAGTCAGCACTTACAGGATTCCAGTCAGTAGAAGCACGAAAGCACAGCGATCTGCAGTCCCAGGACCAAGGCAAGAGTAATGGCAGCAACAAAGTCCCAAGCCCAATACAACACTTTGCCTACTGCAAAGTTCCAATAGTTTGATGCCTTACTTTTATCCTATAACTCTGGACTCCACCCTGTCTCCATCGCTCCAACTTTTCCAGCGTCTATCAAGACTTAGATCACCCCATGTATTTCCAGGTTGCCAGTCTCCCGAAAACCCTTCAAACTCCTCACTTGATGTGGGTTGGGTACATATGTCCCTGATCTCTTGTACACGGATCCAATCTAACCCATCCTCCTCCCCGTCATCACTCCCAGTCCCATCACTCCCCGTGAACCCCATGAAGTCTTCCCCCTCAGTTGGAGCATTAAGTATTTCACGGATCCTCTTCCTTTCTCTCTCTCCATCTGACTCTTGATCCCAAGTAACCCGCTTCAAACCTCTACATTCCTCTCCCTCCTCCTCCATTTCAGAGTCAGTGAACCCTTCGAATGACTCAGTATCTGTAGGTGTCATGAATATTTCCCTAATTTGCTTTCTTTGCTGCTCTTGATCCAACACCTGAGCAGCCCTCTTTGCCCTTCTACTACTTGTTGTAGCTTGCTCAGCACACTCTACTACAACACACGGAGCCTGAAGGCTTTTCATGCACAATATTTATATTCATACAATATATTATATTATTAGCATAGTACAATATCAGTATTATATATTACTATATTGCACTATACCATTATATTGTAATATTATTAGCAGAGGCAGCCCTAGGTAATTTTCAATGGTAAGCAAACAGTATTTTGGCACCCGCCCCCCAACCAATCACTGATATATATTTTCTGTTCCTCGTGGTAGTTCTGCGTGCTATATTTGGTTCAATTCCATCATTGGTGGAGTTCAGAATGCTCTTTGATTGTAGGTGAACTATACATCCCAGTAACTACAACTCGCATATGTCAAGGTCTATTTTCCCCCAAGAGCACCTCAAGAGCACCCCTGGGCAAAATCAACTATACTGCGAATGCTTACTTTGCGTAATGGGTTGAGCCGCCCCTGATTATTAGTAATATTACATGTAATGTAAATATATAATTATAATTATAATATTGTATTATTACTACTAGTATTATATTGTATTACATTATAATATTATAAATATTATATGTATATACAATATTATATTTTATGCATAATATTTTGAATATTTCAATTCAAGTTTGCATACATTGAGTCTGCTTGTTGGAGAGAAAAGCAGAGTATAAATAAATATAACAACAACATAAACAACAACAATAAAACTTTGAACCATGAGGAAACAAAGGCGTCCCTGTCTCAGCCAGTTTTGGAGCACTTTTTGAGGAAGGGATACTCAAAGCTATATCTACATGAGGCCCACCACCTAAAATTTGGGGTCTATCGGCATCCCATGTGGTCCATATGAAAGGATAATGCTCACAGTGGTATCAGATGCCTTGGAGCGACACTGTCTCAGCTTCAAAATCTTCAAACAGCTCTGCAAAAGGGTGACCATAACTCAGGCATTTTAATAATAATGTTGTTGTTCATTCGTTCAGTCGTCTCCGACTCTTTGTGACCTCATGGACCAGCCCACGCCAGAGCTCCCTGTCGGCCGTCACCACCCCCAGCTCCTTCAAGGTCAGTCCAGTCACTTCAAGGATGCCATCCATCCATCTTGCCCTTGGTCGGCCCCTCTTCCTTTTGCCTTCCACTTTCCCCAGCATCATTGTCTTCTCTAGGCTTTCCTGTCTCCTCATGATGTGGCCAAGTACTTCAACTTTGTCTCTAGTATCTTTCCCTCCAATGAGCAGTCGGGCTTTATTTCCTGGAGGATGGACTGGTTGGATCTTCTCGCAGTCCAAGGCACTCTCAGAACTTTCCTCCAACACCACAGCTCAAAAGCATCTCTCTTCCTTCGCTCAGCCTTCCCTAAGGTCCAGCTCTCACATCCGTAGGTTACTACAGGGAATACCATGGCTTGGACTAGGCAATGGATCTTTGTTGCCAGAGTGATAGTCAACATAGTCAACATAGCAATATAAAATTACAATAAACACAATCACAATAACATGGGTGAGCGCGAGTAGGTCACGCGGAGCAGCTGCCCTTGGCTGGCTCACGCTGCCCATCGGGCCTGATGGATAACGTGAGCCAGCCAAGGGAGGGGCACTTTGTGGGGGGGGCGCTCCTTCTCTGCGGGCCGGATAAGTGCCCTTGGCGGGCCGGAAGTGGCCCGCGGGCCATAGTTTGGGGACCCCTGGCTTAAACAAACTAGCCATGCAAGAAAGGAAATTCAAATTCCTGGCACAGCTGTGCCAGCACACCATTACTATGCTCCCCAGAAATACTCAAGAGTCCATTGCTGATATATAGACAGAGAGATAGAGATATAAGCACAATTGACTATGTAACAAAATTTGAAAAATGTTCTGTTCCTGCTTTGAAAGTGTTATTTCCTGTTTAATTGTGTGCTCCTGACTTTGAAAGTAGTTGTTCTCCTCCAGAAACTTTGTTTTTGTGGCTGCCACAAACTAGGTTGAATTGGTTGAAACTTGATGAGATTCACTGAAAAACGAGTGCCAAAAATGCTGCAGGATGATGTCCCTCCCGCAAGAACAAAGTTTTTGTAGTTTAATCAACTCTTCCCATGTTTTTATGATACCAACCAATTAGGAAAAAGACATTTATCACCTAGGAACAAACATCCATATCTTCTAGAAAGACTAACTTCTGGAGTTTGCTCTTTGGGGAGACTGTACAATGATCCAAATAAGACTTCTGGATCATGTCAAACTTCACTCTTGTTTGGATAGTTGGGATTTATTTATATCCTGCCCTATGTCTTCTAGAGGACTCATGTATAATAGACGTTGATGGCAAAGGCATTGTTATTCCTTAGCAGGCTTTTTGCTTTAACCTTTTCAAAACAAGCTTGGTTTTGCATTGATTAAGTGGAGTCAGGACAGGGCAAAATGCATTGGTTTTATACAATAAAATATGCTCTCCATAAAGCATAGTGACATGACTTTTTGAAACTACTAATCCCAGAATCCGAAAGCCGTTAAGTCCGTGGTTCTCAACCTTCCTAATGCCACGACCCCTTAATATAGTTCCTCATGTTGTGGTGACCCCCAACCATAACATTATTTTTGTTGCTCTTCCATAACTGGCATTTTGCTAGTGTTATGAATTGTCATGTAAATTTCTGATATGCAGGATGTATCTTCATTCACTGGACCAAATTTGGCACAAATACCTGATACACCTAAATTTGAATACTGTTGGGGTTGTCATTTGGGAGTTGTGATTGCTAGGATTTATAGTTCACCTACAGTCAGAGAGCATTCTGAACTCCACCAACGATGGAATTGAACCAGACTTGGCAAGCAGAACTCCCATGACCAACAGGAAGTACTGGAAGTGTTTGGTGGGCATAGATTTCGTCATTTAGGAGTTGTAATTGCTAGGATTTATAGTTCACCAACAATCAGAGAGCATTCTGAACTCCACCAATGATGGAATTGAACCAGACTTGGCAAGCAGAACTTCTATTACCAACAGAAAGTACTGGAAGGGTTTGGTGGGCATTGATTTTGTCATTTAGGAGTTGTGATTGCTAGGATTTATAGTTCACCTACAATCAGGGAGCATTCTGAACTCCACCAATGATAGAATTGAACCAGACTTGGCAAGCAGAACTTCCATGACCAACAGAAAGTACTGGAAGGGTTTGGTGGGCATTGATTTTGTCATTTAGGAGTCGTAATTGCTAGGATTTATAGTTCACCCACAATCAGAGAGCATTCTGAACTCCACCAACGATGGAATTGAACCAAACTTGGCAAGCAGAACTTTTGGCTCAAACAATGGTAGATCTGGACCAAGCTTGGTGCAAATACTCAGTGTGCCCAAATATGAACATTGGTGGAGTTTGGGGAAACTAGACCTTGGCATTTGGGAGTTGTAGTTGCTGGGATTTATAGTTCACCTACAATCAAAGAGCATTCTGAACCCCACCAATGATAAAATTGAGCCAAACTTCCCAAACAGAACCCCCATGAACAACAGAGAATACTGCATTTTCTGATGGTCTTTGGCAACTGCCTGATACCCCCCTCGCGATCCCCCAGTGGTCTTCACCCCCAGGTTGAGAAACGTTGCATTAAGTTGTAAGGACTGCAGCCAAATGCATCCTCTTTTGCAACAATTTGAGGCCGACGTTTGCAGCAAATCATGAAATGAAGCATTTGGAAACTCTTTTAAGAGTGGAATGGTTATGATTATAAGATGATTATATTGTAAGATGATTATCATGATTTCCTTTTTTGTGGGAACAAATGAGATGCAAAGTTTACTCTACTGGATCCTTTCCCATGCTCCGTCCTCCATTATCCACTTGCAATAATCTTTGAGAGTTCTTGGAGAACGGGAGAAGTCCCAGCAGATTGGAGGAGGGCCAATGTGGTCCCAATCTTCAAGAAGGGAAAAAAGGATGACCCAAACAATTACCGTCCGGTCAGCCTCACGTCGATACCAGGCAAGATTCTGGAAAAGATCGTTAAGGAAGTGGTAAACACTTAGAAAGGAATGCAGTCGTTGCTAATAGTCAACGCGGATTTCTCAAAAACAAGCCATGCCAGACTCATCTGATCTCTTTTTTATTGAGTTACAAGCTTTTTTAGATGCAGGGAATGCTGTGGATGGAGCATATCTAGATTCCAGGAAGGCCTTCCTTCAACAAGGTCCCCCATGACCTTCTGGCAAGGAAACTAGTCCAATGTTCATTAACTCCTTAAAACAAAAAACCATTATCTTCCCAATCAGTTCAGGCAAAAGCAAAGTGCTGCAGCCTCTTCTAGTTTTCCTATTCATTCATTTTCTATCTTGATCAATTGCTTGGGCACATTTGTGCGAGTGAAATATTGGATCTATTGTAGGGGCAGAGGCGGCTCAACCCATTACACAAAGTAAGCATTTGCAGTAAAGTTGATTTTGCCCAGGGGCGCTCTTGAGATGCTCTTGGGGGGGGGGGGGGAATAGACTTTGACATATGTGAGTTGTAGTTAATGGGATGTATAGTTCGCCTACAATCAAAGAACTCCACCTGGGTCGACCAGGCAGTGGGGATATCCAGCTGCCTACCCTGGATGGTGAGGCGCTACACCCGTCATCATTGGTAAAGAGCCTGGGAGCCCTTTTGGACCCTCTGCTGACGATGGAAGCCCAGGTCTCCGCCGTTAGCAGAACCGCCTTTTTTCATCTGTGGCAGGCTAGACGGCTGGCCCCCTCCCTGTCCAGGGACGACCTAGCTACGGTGATCCAGGCCACAGTCATCTCAAGACTGGACTACTGTAACGCCCTCTACATTGGCCTTCCTCTGTCGGTGATCCGGAAGCTCAAGTTGGTACAAAATGCAGCTGCTCGGCTTCTTGCGGAAATTCCGATGAGATGCCACATAACCCCAATCTTACTACAGCTGCATTGGTTACCAATTGAGCACCGGATCACTTTCAAAGTGATGGTACTCACCTTTAAGGCCTTGCATGGTCTGGGGCCGATGTACCTGAGGGACCGCCTCACCCCCTACCAACCCCAGAGATCCCTCCGTTCTGAGGACCAAGATCTATTGGAAATTCCCAGTGTCAAGACCTTGCGTCTAACAGCAACCAGACGCAGAGCCTTTACAGCAGTGGCACCATCACTCTGGAATACTCTGCCACCTGAAGTCCGTGCCTTGCGGGACCTATCAGCTTTCCGCAGGGCATGTAAGACATATCTCTTTCAACAGGCCTTTGATCTCTGACATTGTTGTTTTAAATTTAAATTGTGTTAGATTTTAGCCTGTTCTTGTAAGCCGCTCCAAGCCCCAGGGGAGTGACGGCATATAAGTTTGAATTATAAATAAATAAATATAAAATAAATAAACTACATTCCCAGGGTTCCTTAGAGTTGGGCCAAATGGCATTCATTCCACAGTGCGGATGCTCCCTTTGGTAGGGATTGCTCAGGGCCCTGGGAAACTACAACTCCCAGGATCCCGTAGCATTGAGCCAGGCAGTTCATTTGGTGTCAATAAATATGAATTTCACAGTGTGGATGTCTCCTTTGGCAAAGATTGGGAAACTACAAATCCCAGAATCCCGTTGCATTGAGCCAGAGCAGTTCAAGTGTGTCAATCAACAATAATTTCACAATGTGGATGCACCCTTTGGCAGGGATTGCCAAGAACCTTGGAAAACTGCAACTCCCATGAGCCGGGGCAGCTCAAGTGGTATCAAATGGCATTCATTCCACAGTGCGGGAGCGCCCCGGTGCATTTGTAATCCTACGCATTTGGTATTTGCGAGTGCTGTGGTTGCTTAATTCTCTTTGCTTGTGTCTCTCTCTTCCTTTTCTCCCACGCTGCCTTTGCAAAGGACAGCTTTGAAGAACCAGGTTAGGCTACTTCCCTTCCTTTCCTTTTTGTAGAAAGAATGTGAGACACGGGGGAGACTTTGCTAACAGGATGTTTCTGTTTCAGCTGTACCAAGAGGACACCCTCCATTCCTCGTGGATCGACAACACTCTGCACGTGTTCTGTGCCATCAGCGGGACGTCCGGGGACGGCTACGGCTTGCTGAGATTGACCCCCGACCTCTGAGAATTGAAACATACTCGCCTTCCAAACTGTTGGTTACTCACTGCGTCCAAAAGCGCATCCACACTGTGGAATTAATGCAGTTTGACACCACGTTAACCCAATACTGTGGCATCCTGGGAGCTGTGCTCTGGGGAGGCCCTTCTTATGCAGAGAAGGCAGAAGACCTTGCAAAACTAGCATCCTGGATCAAAGTGGGTCCAAACTGCATTAATTCTGCAGCGTAGACGCTTTCCACAGTGCCTCCCCGTCTCCTTTTTGTATCATTCCTTTCTTCCCATTGCATTGTGAAATAACGTATATACAAACAAGCCGCCATTTATCCAACTAAGCTTGGAAACGGTACCATGTAAACTTGTACAATGGGATATAATAAAGTGTACAAATCTTTTTATATATATATATAGTAAACACAATGCAGTTTGTGTTTGTTTGCATTACATGCCAATGTCTCTAATTTCTGCTATTAAAAACATAAAATAGAGACAGTTCCGTATCTATCTCCAGATCCCTCCATTTGCCAATATTTATTTCCTTCTGCATGCTTTGGTTTCTGCAGAGAGACAAAGAAGGAGCCTTAATCATTATTGTTTATTATAGTTGAGTCCCCTTCAGGAGGAGATAAAGCAATAATAATAATTGTTGGAGACATTGTTGTTGTTGTTCATTCGTTCAGTCGTCTCCGACTCTTCGTGACCTCATGGACCAGCCCACGCCAGAGCTCCCTGTCGGCCGTCACCACCCCCAGCTCCTTCAAGGTCAGTCCAGTCACTTCAAGGATGCCATCCATCCATCTTGTCCTGAGCAGACTGAAAGCCAAAACCAAGGTTACAACAACATCTGTTATAGAACTCCAGTATGCTGATGACAACATCGTCTGTGCGCATTCAGAAGAAGATCTACAAGCCACTCTAAACACCTTCGCAGAAGCATACGAGAAGCTCGGCCTGTCATTGAACATTGAAAAAACCAAGGTTCTGTTCCAGCAGACACCAGCCAACCCCTCTCCAATGCCAGTGATACAGCTTAATGGTGTAACATTAGAAAATGTTGATCATTTCCGCTACCTTGGCAGCCACCTCTCCACCAAAGTCAACATCGACACCGAAATACAACACCGCCTGAGCTCTGCGAGCGCAGCATTTTTCCGAATGAAGCAGAGAGTGTTTGAGGACCGGGACATCCGTAGGGATACCAAGGTGCTTGTCTATAAAGCTATTGTCCTCCCAACCCTGCTATATGCCTGTGAGACGTGGACTGTCTACAGACGTCACATGCAACTCCTGGAATGATTCCATCAGCGCTGCCTCCGGAAAATCCTGCAAATCTCTTGGGAAGACAGGCGGACAAATGTCAGCGTTCTGGAAGAAGCAAAGACCACCAGCATTGAAGCAATGGTCCACCGCCACCAACTCCGCTGGACCGGCCACGTTGTCCGGATGCCCGACCACCGTCTCCCAAAGCAGTTGCTGTACTCCGAACTCAAGAACGGAAAACGGAATGTTGGTGGACAGGAAAAGAGATTTAAAGATGGGCTCAAAGCCAACCTTAAAAACTCTGGCATAGACACTGAGAACTGGGAAGCCCTGGCCCTTGACCGCTCCAGCTGGAGGTCAGCTGTGACCAGCAGTGCTGCAGAATTTGAAGAGGAATGGATGGAGGATGAAAGGGAGAAGTGTGCCAAGAGGAAGGTGCGTCAAGCCAACCCCGACCGAGACCGCCTCCCACCTGGAAACCAATGCCCTCACTGCGGAAGAAGATGCAGAGCAAGAATAGGGCTCCACAGCCACATACGGACCCACAAGAATATTGGAAGACAATCATCCTCGGAAAACGAGGGATTGCCTAAGTAAGTAAGTAAGGACCCTCTTCCTTTTTCCTTCCATTTTCCCCAGCATAATTGACTTCTCTAAGCTTTCCTTTCTTCTCATGATGTGGCCAAAGTACTTCATCTTTGCCTCTACTATCCTTCCCTCCAATGAGCAGTCGGGCTTTATTTCCTGAAGTATGGACTGGTTGGATCTTCTCGCAGTCCAAGGCACTCTCAGAACTTTCCTCCAACACCACAGTTCAAAAGCATCTATCTTCCTTCGCTCAGCCTTCCCTATGGTCCAGCTCTCACATCCATAGGTGACTATGGGGAATACCATTGCTTTAACTATGCGGATCTTTGTTGCCAATGTGATGTCTCTACTCTTCACTATTTTATCGAGATTGGACATTGCTCTCCTCCCAAGAAGTAAGCGTCTCCTGATTTTCTGGCTGCAGTCTGCGTCTGCAGTCATCTTTGCACCTAGAAATACAAAGTCTGTCACTGCCTCTACATTTTCTGTCACGGTCTCCACGTTTTCTCCCTCTATTTTACAGTTGTCAATCATTCTTGTTGCCATAATTTTGGTGGTTTTTTATGTTTAACTGCAACCCAGCTTTTGCGCTTTGGAGACCATAGGCCTCCAAAATACTTTGAGCATGACCTTGCCTGCTGAGAGTTGGGCATGTGCCTTCTTTAGAGGCGACGAGTCATGATGCTTCCATTGCATCGACTGGACTTGAGTCTCAGGATCAAAGTGGTGGACCCAGCTTCCATCCTGTGTGGTCAGTCTGTTGAAAAAGTCGTCCTGGTTTCCATGGCACATTATTGTCAAGAGAGCCTGAGAGCATTCAACTCATTCCTGCTTCTGGAAAGGTGTGAGCAGCCGGGGGACCCAGCGAGCGGATCCCTTATGCATGTGAAGGTGGTCTTGGATGATTTTTTTTCATGGACCCCACACTCATCTTGACATTTTGGGCTAGGTGGTGAATGGTAATGTGGCGATTTTTCAAAATGGCAATCTCCATTTGCTGGATTGTGTGTTCATCAATAGCAGAGTGGGGTCGCCCTGGAATTGGAGTTGTTTGCACCGAAGTCCGGCCACATTGGAATGGACGACGCCAGTCCTTGACTCCATCATATGATGGAGAATCATCACTATAAACCTCTTTCATTTCATCCAATGTCTCCTTTGGTGTGCAGCCTTTCAAGGAAAGGAACTTGTGGACTAATGTATTGTCGAATGTATTCACATCTTGTCTGTTGGAGCTAGGTGTGAATGTTTCAACTGACCACTTTGATTAGCCAGGCCATCAAATGCTAATCAAGGTGGTCAGTTGAAACATTCACATCTAGCTCCAACAGACAAGAGTTCTTTGTCCCATCCTGGTCATTCCACAGATATATAAACCCTTTTTCCTAGTTCCAAGAGACCTCACAACCTCTGAGGATGCTTGCCATAGATGCAGGCGAAATGTCAGGAGAGAATGCCTCTAGACCATGGCCATATAGCCTGAAAATACCCACAACAACCCAACTTGTGGACTGCTCTGTCTTCCACTGGGTCCATTCTCAAACTTCGCACTACTTCAGCACCTGTACAATCAAGATAGTTATCAGTTCCGAGTTGTAAATTGGCACGTAACCTATTGAGACATATCATTACACATGTGCATTTTCAGCATCGTATGATAAATAGGTCAGAGCAAATCTTTAATCAACACCCCTCATACATAGACAAGCTTCTGCCTCCACAAACAGCTATAGCCCCCACTACTCAGGAGACACCAATAGCCCTCCCTACAATAACATTGCAGGTTATAGTGAGTGCCGCATACATGTTCAAGAGCCCTGCCACAAACATCAAACTGCCCACCACCCAAGTGAAGAATTTCATACGGGAACAATTTCATCCTAGATTTTGTGTGTTTCCTCCACCACAGACATCCCAGTGTTTCCGACTCTCTCCATTGGTGTGGAATTTGCATGTCCCCACCCACTGCCTCTCCCTTAACCCTTTCTTATTATTTTCTATGGCGCACAGCAAACAGAGGAATTGATCAGCAGCTGAACATACTGGAGAGGTTTGGGGAGAATTCACCATAATTTACAGGAGTTGTAGGTACTGGGGTGTATAGTTCACCTGCAATCTAAGAGCACTCTGAACTCCACCAATGATGGACCTAGAAATAACTTGGCACACAGAACCCCCATGACCAACAAAACATACTGGAGGTCTTGCTGATTTATAGGAATTGTAGTTCACCTACATTCAGAGTGCACTATGAACCCAAACAATGTGGGATGTGGACCAAACTTGCATACATACCTGATATGCCCAAATTTGAATACTGGTCGGTTTTGCGGGGAATTGGCCTTTTGGAGTTGTAGGCAGGGGTGGCTCAACCCATTACGCAAAGTAAGCATTTGCAGTATAGTTGATTTTGCCCAGGGGCGCTCTTGAGGCACTCTTGGGGAAAATAGACCTTGACATATGCGAGTTGTAGTTACCGGGATGTATAGTTCACCTACAATCAAAGAGCATTCTGAACTCCACCAATGATGGAATTCAACCAAATAGAGCACACAGAACTCCCACGACGAACAGAAAATATATATCAGTTATTGGTTGGGGGAGGGGGGGGGCAAAATACTGTTTGCTTACCATTGAAAATTACCTAGGGCCACCTCTGGTTGTAGGTACTGGGATTTATAGTTCCCCTGCAATCAACGAGCATTCTGAACTCCACCAAAGAGGGAATTGAACCAAACTTGACACACAGAGCCCAGCAAAAAATACTGGATGTCTTTGTGGAAAATTCACCTTGATTTGGGGGAGTTGTAGTTCACCTACATCCAGAGACCACTGTGAACTCAAACACTGATATGTCCAAATTTGAATACTGGTTGGTTTTGCGGGGAATTGGCCTTTTGGAGTTGTAGGTACTGGGTCCCCCGTGACCAGCAAAAAATACTGGATGTCTTTGTGGAAAATTCACCTTGATTTGGGGGAGTTGTAGTTCACCTACATCCAGAGACCACTGTGAACTCAAACACTGATATGTCCAAATTTGACTACAGGTTGGTTTTGCGGGGAATTGGCCTTTTGGAGTTGTAGGTACTGGGTCCCCCGTGACCAGCAAAAAATACTGGATGTCTTTGTGGAAAATTCACCTTGATTTGGGGGAGTTGTAGTTCACCTACATCCAGAGACCACTGTGAACTCAAACACTGATATGTCCAAATTTGAATACTGGTTGGTTTTGCGGGGAATTGGCCTTTTGGAGTTGTAGGTACTGGGTCCCCCGTGACCAGCAAAAAATACTGGATGTCTTTGTGGAAAATTCACCTTGATTTGGGGGAGTTGTAGTTCACCTACATCCAGAGACCACTGTGAACTCAAACACTGATATGTCCAAATTTGAATACTGGTTGGTTTTGCGGGGAATTGGCCTTTTGGAGTTGTAGGTACTGGGTCCCCCGTGACCAGCAAAAAAATACTGGATGTCTTTGTGGAAAATTCACCTTGATTTGGGGGAGTTGTAGTTCACCTACATCCAGAGACCACTGTGAACTCAAACACTGATATGTCCAAATTTGACTACA